AAACCATTGCTTTGCCCCTTAAGCCACAAGGACCACAAACACCACACATATCTAAAAACGTCTCTCACATTCAAATTACACGTGAAACTCCACTATTTCTATTTGGTATTTCCAATTCGAAAACGAAGAAATCGTTTTCTTTGAAAGACGGAATCTCCACCGCATCCCATTTGCTAGCAACTTGTTTCTAAGAAAATGTATTCTCTTTTATGGAGGAAAACCATACAAAGAGACCATCTATAAAGAGGAATTAGTGCGAAAATGCTTGCCAGGAAGAAACTGTAAATGGTTCCAGTATATATTAAGAAAGAGAGAAAGGGGAAAAAGAATTTTCGAGAGAGAGAGAGAGAATGATTCTGATATGGTGGGTATTGATTATGGGTTTGGGTTGGAATGGAGAGGGAAGAATGGTGATTATGGGGTTGGCTGCAAAGTGTGAATTCCCTGCCATTTTCAACTTTGGAGATTCAAATTCAGACACAGGCGCCATCTCAGCTGCTTTTCAAGAGGTACAGTTTCCTAATGGCGAGACCTTCTTTGGAGAGGCAGCAGGCAGGCTATGTGACGGTCGTCTCATTGTCGATTTCATAGGTAAAAAATAAAGTAACTCTCACCGAGTGTGCTGGGATTCGCCGAGGCCGAGTAACTTGGCCTTAACCATAGGGCAAGATGAGTTCCTGGCGAGTTAGGTATACAACTTGTTAGGCCCAAATGAATACTTAAAAATGTAAAAAAAATATAAAAACAAGAAAACACTGGTAAGTTCTTTGTCAATTTTTAAAATTATTTAGGATTGTTGATATTTTTTCCCTTTTTTAAAATTTACTCAAATATTTAAGGTATAAATCCACTTTTTTTAATAATTTATCTTTTATAGTTTCTTTCATCTTAATTAGTGATTTAAGTAATCATTTTAACTTCTTCTCGTTTTGAAACATTTTTTTTTTTGGAGATTTTTCACCATATTTAAAAAAATTATTATTATTATTATTTAATTTATTTTTTTTGTGTTGTATCTAACTTGTCTTTGTCCACTCAAACTCCGACTTCCCCGAGTTACTCGGGGATCGCTAAGGCTGAGTATTTTGGCCGGGTCAATTTTTGGTACACTGCTCTCACTCCTAATAAAATCTTCATAACTCTCTCTGTCTCTCTACTGGCTTCTATTAACTTTTAAACCAGCAAATCACGATTTCTTTCATTTGTTAAACCAGGCAAGTTTTTGCTAGATTAAGAGAAGGATTAGACTCCTAATGCTTTATTGTGGCTAAATCAGAGAGAGAGAATGAATGAATTGTTAATTCTAGAGAGATAGATAGGAATGAATTGATTAGTGATGGGTGAATACAGCGGAGAAGTTGAAGGTAGCCTACGTGAATGCATACTTGGACAGTGTTGGGAGTAGATTCAAGCATGGAGCAAACTTTGCGACGAGTGCATCAACCATTCACACTTATAATAATACATCGTTTCCTAGGGGAGGATTTAGCCCCTTCTCATTGGGCATACAGCTCAACCAATTCACCCAATTCAAGTCCAGGTCCAATAGGCTCTACCACCATGGTAACTAAACTCACTCAACTCTTAATGCTATACCACCAATTTTATCATCTTAAAGATGTTTGGACAAGATTGGATGTAGTGCATATTATTTAGATCATCAATTTTTTAGATTTTCAAGTGTTTATAGATCTGTTCTATTTTTAAATTTTATAATTAGAGATGAAAATAAATTTTCATTTCATTACAAATATTTCTGATACTGAAACAATAAATTCAGTACTTTTTCAAAGTGCGATTTGCTTTGATTAGTTAGGGCCTAAGCCTTGTACAACCACACCTGCTAAGTCAACAACGTTGTAAAAAGTTTGCAAGGATTATGTAGTGCAGAATTTTTTTCCATAAAAATCACATTTTAAATATCAAAAATTTTATTTTATTTTCATGTTCATGATCATCTTAATCTAGATTATAAATCCCTAAAATTTTAGACTAAGAAATCGTTTCGAAGATGGTTAAAGAGGGAGCCTGACGTATGATGAGTTGGCTGACTCATATAAACCCCATCCTTATTATCATCAATTCGACCTTGTAATTGGCTTAATGTGTTCAATGGTTGTGGCATGAGACAGTTTCGGCCCTTGCTATACTTACAGTTTTTCACTGGAGAATGTTTGGATAGGCTACAACCACATCAAAATAAGAAAAACCACAGCTTAAAATTCATCGAAAATTGTATTTCTGTTGTCAAAAAACCTTCAAATGGATCATCTCGGCCTTGACCATTATATTTGAGAAAAGAATTAGAATTTTAAGCCCTTAACTTATAGAGGTCAAAATGGATGTACAACGATCTAGAATGTGTTTGGGATCTCAAATCCCTCAAAAACTAGGGCGGTGAGTCAACTAACTCCACAAAACTGTTGGGTTAGGTGATAACCGAATCACTATACCTATATTTTCTTCTAAAGATTAAGTATATTGGGAAAAAGAGAAGGGGTTTTGTAGAATTTGCAATATGCGAAATAGAGAGGAGAAGAGAGAAAATAGATCAACACAATATATACGTGGCTCGGCAATGGTGCCTACATCCATGGAGGGTAAATTAGTATTTCATTCATAGGGATTACTCTGATTTACCAGAGATTTATAGAGTTACAACTCTTGCCTTTTAGGAAACAAATTTCATTACAATAGTAATCCCCACAAAAATAACTGAATATATAAAACTCAATATTTGGCTACTGAATTGAATATAGGAAACTCAATATATGATTTCTATAATTGTCAACACTCCCCCTATAGATCAATGGAGCCAAACTTGAACAATATCTGATGGAACTTTGTCTGTGCAATAGCTTTAGTAAACATGTTTGTTAGTTGGTCTTCACTTCGAACATAAGGAGTACTAATAATTTTTTACTAAACTTTTTCTCTCACAAAGTGACAATCAACTTCTATGTGCTTGGTTCTTTCATAAAAAACTGGATTGGAGGCTATATTCATAGCTGCTTGAATATAATAGAACATCTCTACTGGCTTGACAGTTGGGAATCCCATATCTCGAAGTAGATATTTTAGCCACATCAATTCACTTGTAGTTGAAGCCATAGCTCTATATTCGTCATTTGCACTGGATCGAACAACTACATTTTGTTTCTTGCTTTTCCAAGCGACTAAGTTTCCTCTGACCAATGTACAATAGCCGATTGTGGACCTCCTGTCAATTGGACTACCTGCCTAGTCAACATCATAATAACTAATAATATTAGTATGGCCATTTGGTTTCAACCAAACACCTTTACTGGGTGACGACTTAAGATATCTGAGAATCCAATCGACAGCCTTCATATAACATGATCTAGGAGTATGCATAAATTGGCTCATCAAACTAACTGTATACATTATATCTAGTCTTGTCACAGTTAAATAAATCAATCTTCCCACAAGCATTTAAAAGCAACTCATATCTCCAAAACGTTTTTCATTTGTTGAATTAAGCTTGTAATTACTATCAACAGGAGTGTCAATGGGTTTGACTCCCAGTTTCCCAGTTTCTTTCAACATATCTAATATATATTTTCTTTGATAAATGAAGAGTCTTTTTTTTTAATGCGCTACTTCAATGTTGAGAAAATACTTTAGTTGACTAAGATCCTTGATGATATATTTTTTGTGAAGATAATTTCTAAGCTTCATGATGATTTCTTTATCATTGCTTATAATGATAATATCGTCAACATAAATGAATACAACTGTTGTACCTGAAGTTTCGCTTTTTGTGAACATCGAAGAATCAGTTGAACTTCTAAGAAACCCGATACTCGTCAAGGCTGAGTTGAGTTTGACATACCATGCGCAAGGTGATTGTTTAAATCTACAAAGCCTTCTTTAATTTGCATACAAAATCTTTCTCATTTTCTTTAGAGTGACCTGGAGGAAGACTCATATAGACATCTTCTTGAAGGTCACCATGTAAGAATGCATTTCTAACATCCATTTGATGCAGAGACAATCCACAATTAACTACGATAGACAAAAGAATACGAACATTAATCCTCTTGACAACTGGTGTAAAAGTTTCTTTATAATCGACTCAATAAGTTTAGGCAAATCCTTTACCTACCAACTTAGGCTTATATCTCTCAACAGACCCATCACTATTATATTTAATTTTGAAAACTCATCTACATCCAACTGTTTTTTTCTCTTTAGGTAGCTAGACAATGTCTCAAGTATGGTTCTTGTCAAGTGCTTGAAATTCATCTTTCACAACATTCCTCCACACAGGTTGAGAAATGACATCTTGAAAATTAGTTGGCTCTGAATTATGAGTGATAGAACTCACAAAAGCAAAAAAGCTAGGAGAGATATTTTCATAGAAAATATGATTTTGCATAGGATAAAAAACAACATGGTAAGTATAAAAATCTTGAAATCTAGATGAAGGTTGAATGATACGAGAAAACCTGCGCAAGGGGGGATCAGGTGGGGCCACAACGAAGTCTTCTTCTTCTAAACAAGCTTGGTGAGGTTTAAAGGTATCTTCAATTTCAGCTTAATCATCATGACTTTCTTCAACTTTGGATTGATCATTATGACTTTCTTCAACTTCGGATTGATCATCATGACTTGTTTCGGGTGTGTTGGACACATCACTAGTACTAATATTAGGCAAGGGCAAATGACTTCTTGAACACTCCCCCTGAGTTCTATTTTCCAAACTACTATCCAATGTGTCATGAAAATATGACTCTATTTCAACAAATGGAACATCTCTGAAAATAAGTATTTTTCTAGTGAAAGAAGTATTGGTCTTCAAAGCTAGAGTTGCAGATTGATGGTATAAATTTTAAAAAAAAAAATTTAATCAACTAGATGCAAATTTCAGTTGTCCTTCTGGAAAATCATTGTGTAAATGAAATACTGTTTATAGCAAATCATTTTGTAAAGTAAATCATTGTGTAAAGAAATCATAAACAAGCAGATTGTTGTGATTATTTGTGATACTTGTTTTTATGAAAATACTGTTAATGGCATAAATTAAAGCTCAAAGCATAATTTTTTACTGATGAATGAGAAGCAGAGAGTGTGACTACAAGACCAAGTAATCAATAATTTGTTTTGATTGTGTAAACTGTAAACTTACAAGAGCAAGTAATTGTATATATAGGATTAGTTCTCCAAACTTAATCCTTCAGTCTGTTTCCTAAAGAAAATGAAAAGCCCTCTTCAAACTATCCCAAATCAGAGAGAAAAGCACTCTTTAAACTATCCCAAATCAGCATACCATCTTCCCTTTCTCTCTCTAAAAATCAGTTAGGGCCTCTTTGATTAGGGTTCTTCCTTCTCTCGCTCTAAAAATCAGTTAGGGCCCCTTCCATTAGGGTTTGTGAAAACCATTTTCTTCTTCCTTCTCTCTCTATAAACCTTAATGGCTATGAGCCAAGCGTTATTTTCTTCTCTTCCTTCTTCCTGCTTATCTCTTCCCTCTTCTCTCTTCTTCTCTTCTTCTCTCTCTACACGGTAAACACAAATGTAAAACCCAATTTTCTACGAACTTCTTTGAAACTAAAGAAATTTATAAAACTTTAACCATAGTTATGGAGTGACCATAGTTAAATAATTGTATGAGAAAACAAAAACAGTGTAGTTATTTTTTGGTATTTGCTAAGTAGGAGTTATGTTTAAGTATTTAATGAATAAATTTATAATATATTTGTCACTATATCATATTTAAAGAATTTTAATGAATAAAATTATATAGTATATTTGTTTTTGTATGTAATAAGTAGGTGGGATGTTTCTTAAAGTATTTAATGGGTAGATTTATATGGTACTTTTTTTGGTATATACTAATTAATTATATGTTTAATATTGGATGATTGGATGAGAGTCAATAAACATCTAAATTAATTGACTTCATTATATTAGTCTAGTAAAGTTTTTATAGATGAATTAGTAATTGATGGCTTTGACATAATTTTCATTTTTTAGAATTTCAAAATTTCTAATATTATAAATTTGTCCAATTTTTTTACTCCGAATTTTTTAGCCTAATCAGATATATTAGCGATATCTTTATATGAAGTATTTTTGCCATACCATATTTTTTATCCAATATTTTAAAATAAAAATGATTTATTTCCGATTTTATGGTGAGCCGCTTTATTGATAGTTCCTGACTTGCTAACTATGCATAAGACACGTATCCAAATACATGAAAAATGGGACAAATCAAATTTTCTATTTTTCCAAATTTCAAGGGGAGATCTATCATTAATAATTTAACTTGGAAGTTTGTTAATAAATAGCAAGCAGTTAAACAACTTCAGACCAATAAATTTTTGGAATATGCATCTGAAACATCAAAGACCACGTCTCTTCCAAAAGGTGTCTATTTTTCCTTTCAGCAACTCCATTCTGCTGAGGTGTTCCAACATAAGATGTTTGGTGTATAATACCAAGATTACATAAATGCTTAGAAAAATCTTTGCTCACATACTCTGTGTCATTATCTATTCGCAGAATTCTAATCTTGTCATTATATTAAGTGGAAATCAGTTTGGAAAACTCTTTGAACAAAGGAAAAACTTTTGTTTTTTATTTCAATAAATATACCCAAGGAGCACGAGAATAATCGTCAATAAAAGTAACAAAATATTTAAAGCTAGCATAAGAATCAACTGGGGTTGGTCCCTATATATTGAAGTGTATCAAATAAAATGGTTCCTTTGAAACCAACATAGAAGATTGAAAAGGAAGTCTTGTCTATTTAGAGAATTTGCAACTTCACAAGAATGAGAGTTCAAAGATAGAGAGGGTATTAATATTTTCAAAACTTTATCCAAATCTCCAATGCCACAATTTGTTAATATCAAAATTATCTTGATTGAATAAATATAGCTCACAAGACAATCTTCCTTCACCAATATTCCTTCCCATTGCCTGATCTTGAAAAATCACAGAGTTGGGAGAAAAAATAACATTGCAATTTATACTCTAAGCAATTTTACTAACAGACATCAAGTTAGAAAAAAATGATGGGATAAAAAGAACTTCAAAGTTTTGTGATTTGGAGAAAAAATTGGTCATACCAACACTATGGACAATAATCACGAAACCATTAGCAATAGGCACAAGGTTCATATTTTCATTATTTTTTAGGTCAAATAGACATTGCAAGTTATTAGTCATAGGATTTGTGCCCCTGAGTCTATTATCCAAGAAAAATGTTACAAGAAGTCATGAGAGCATCCCTTCCCCCATCACCATAATTGTTAGGGTCTTTACTACCACCACTATTTTGAGGCTTTGTTGTCATATTTTTCACTATTAGCAACTATGGAAAATTTCTCAAGACTTTCTTTCGAAGTTTTGAAATCATGATTCATGATTTTCTTCTTAATTATGTATCCAAGTTTAGCTTTTCTAAAGAGAGAACGAGAAACAACTTTCGACCAAACATAATAATTAAGTCCATTCAAAAGAACAATAGTAAGTTTCATGCTAGAGTGGTTTTCTGAATCAGCCATTACGAACAAATAAAGGGAACCAGAAAACTAATTTGATTAGCAGCAAAAAGCAACTTGCATAGAAAACCAAGAAGCCCTGAAGACAGGCGTAGTTATCTGCAAACTTACGAATGTGGTCCACGGAGGGTAAACTAATATCTCATTCATATGGATTACCTTGGTTTGCCAGAGATTTATAGAATTACAACTCTTATCTTTTAGGAAATAAATTCCATTACAATACTAATCCCTATAAAAATAGCTGAATATAAGAAACTCAATATTTGGTTACTAAACTGAAAATAGGAAACTTAATATATGGTTTCTATAATTGTCAATAGGCTTCTTGGGGAGGAAGAAAGAAGATCAAATGATCTATATAAGAGTGGATCAAGGATTGCATAATACTCATCCTTTGAGAGTCACTCCTTTGAGGGTTATGAGAATGAATCTTTCAAGAGGAGATGATTCTCCAAGAGAGAGAGCATGACGTCTTAGCTAGAGGTGGTATTCTTATGGATTCTAGGTCGATTAAATTTTCACTTTTAGATAGAGAAATTCTCTCTGTTGCTCTCGAGGTTATCTTTCCGATAACGGTATTGCGATGGGAAAGAAGAAGTTGATCGACAGTGTTGCTCAGTCGGGAAAGCGAGTTTAGAAGGGAATATCGGTGATGATCTTTTACCAATGCTTAGAGAGAGATATATCTCTTGTAACAAAAAACTGTAATATTCATTGTGATAGTGGATTTCTATTTGCTTAAACCGTCGATGTAGCCCTACAGGGTGAATCACGTAAATCGTGTGTTGGTGTGATGTGCCTTTCATGTTTGCATTATTTCTTGCACTAAATTAATAGTTGTATTCATCTACTTCGTATTTAGCCAATCATATACACGATCTTGGGTGGGATCCCGGTATTTGGGATTCCCGGTTCCACAAGCTAGGGGTTCTTGAGAACCCTACAATTGCTATTAGCATAAGGCTTACATTAAGAAAAAAATGAATGGTGGAGTTTGATGGATAAGTAGTTTGAGGTGAAGAAATATGGAGGTAAAGTGTTTGTGAGAATTTCACAATGGAGGGAAGTGAGAAGAAATCAAGAAATCTATTAAATGAAAATTGCCAAGGCAATTATGGTGATTTTGTTATCACTGTGGAGATTGTTGGGTTTGGTGATAGCTAAATCACTATACCTATATTTTCTTCTAAAGATTAAGGGTATTATGTTTAAAGGAAAAGGGATTTTCTTAGGAAGCAAGAAAGTGAATCTATAAGAGAGTGAATGATGATATATTATGCCCATACTTTTGAGGGTCACCCCTTTGAAGCTTATGGACAAGGATCTGCAAGATGGAGATAGATCTGCTAGAGAAGGAGAGATATGGCCTCTGAGAGTGGCGGTATTCCCATGGAGCTTTGTGTTGATTTGTTACTACTTTTAAAGTGAGAAAATATTTCGGTTGCTCTCGAGGTTATCTTTTCGATAGTAGTATTGCAGTTGGAAAGAAGATAGAGATCGACAGTGTTGCTCGGTCGGGAGAGCGGGTTTAGAAGGAAAGATGGGTGATGATTTTTTACCAATGCTTAGAGATAGGTAGTGTCTCTTGTAACCCAAAAATGTAATCTTTATTGTGATCGTAAATTTTGGCTTGTCGAGGCTGTGGATGTAGGCCAATGGGGTGAACCACATAAATCATGTGTTGTGATGGTATACCTTTTATATTTACTTTATTTCTTGCACTCAATTTATAGTTGTATTCATTTACTTCGTATTAGCCAATCATGTACATGATTTTGAGTAGGATCCCAATATTTGGGATTCCCGATTTCGTAAGCTAGAGGTTCCCGATAATCCTACTTAAACTTCCCATTTATCCTATGCCATGTTTAGAATCTCGATCTCGATAATCGATTTAGTTAATGCCAAGAATGAATTCTCTGGGAGTCAAATGGCTAACGAAAATAATCTTATATGCCATATACTGAAGTACCAAATGACGTAGCTATCAATCTTAAAATGCTTGAAGAATGTAAAAAAAAAAGAAGAAAGATTGAAAGAAAGAAGGGAAGACTCTATATAACCAAAACTAGGAAATTTCTCGGATTTTTTCGATTTACAAAATTCACCAACTTGACAATCCATGTTTCAATGAGTTTTGATATTCTGGTTATGCATTGTAACTCAGAGAATCCTCTTAGAATGCACTTTCCGGGACCGGATGATTTCTCTAGGGCTCTATACACCTTTGATATTGGCCAAAATGATCTCAACGTCGCATTCGCAATTAAGTCAGATGACCAAGCAAAAGCATTCATTTCCGGCATCATCGGGGAGTTTACACAAGCCATACAAGTAAGCCTCTCGTACTTTATTATCATCAGCATCATTATCGCTATTAGTAATTATAGTTCTAAACTTCTAACTAATGTTTTTGGAAAATGTTAGATTAGCCCACTAGTTTATATGAGCATATGAGTCCAACAGCTCAAATTGAATCTAAGTCGATTTGACGATCACGACTTTATTTTGTATTTAATTTTATTTATTTTTCTACGAATTCAAATAACTTGAAATTTTAGGTATGTGTTCTTCAAAAATAGGACAATATCAAAAAAATAATTTGTAAGAAATAAATTGATCAAAATACCCTTGAAATGTTTTGGGGGTATTTTGATCAATTTATTTTTTACGAATTATGTTTTAAATATTTTTATTAGGTGTGCTTTGATGAGAAGAATGGATGTCTAAAATTTCAAGTTATTTGGATTTTTATAAAAAAACATTAAAATTCAAATACGAAATGATGTCGTGATCGTCAGATCGGCTCAGATTCAATCCTGACCGTTGGGCTCATATGTTCATATGAACTAGTGGGCTAATCTCAGTATTTTCCAATGTTTTCTAACTTGAACAAGTTTAGAAAAAGGGTTGGGTCGTGTTGGTAGCACCCCCATACCCTAGTTATTACTTTGTGATTTTCAATTCTGTTGACACCACACAATAACACCTTAAATTTTTTTCTTAAAAAATAACTCCTTAATATGAAAAAAAGTAGGGACATGCCTTCCCTATTGAAATACCCAAAAAAAAAAAAAAAAAACTGAACAAGTCACCTCAAACTCGCTCGTATCACTCAAGCTTGGTAGGTGGTTGAGCCGGGAACACATCGAACTTAGTGGGTATTTATAATTGATCAAACATTTGATTAAATCAATTATAATTTATTAATGATTAATTTTGTATATGATATTTTGCTTACATGATTGCTAACAATATTTTTTGATTTTTTCTAATTTTCTCTTTTTTGAGAAAATGACCTACAACCAATTTTCAATTGTCTATTTTTCTTAAATTTTATATACGTTCTCATGTAGTTTGCCATGTTTTTAATTTTCTTAAATTTTTTTTAAGGATTTTTCAATTTTTGGATTCTTTTGGCTCTGTAGGCAACGGCTCATCATAGACTCCGATGAGTTGACTTGGACTCGCCTATGTCCATTGCACTGCATACGACTTCAGTTAGTTTTTTTTTTTTCGTGAGGGGGAAATTTAGTGAGGAAGACGAGCTCCTACCCATTTTTTGAAATCATTAATAGTTTTTTAATGTGTTAGATGAGAATGAAGCCTAGACCTTAGCTGGGGCACAGGTGGTGATACCACTACCGCCCAAACCTCATTGTCAGTTACGGGGCCTTAACCGCATTTTGGAACACTAGTCCTACTAATATTACTATATTCTACCGCTTATTTGGTTTGAATATCCCCAAAAACCAAAATAAAGTATCAAAATTTAATCCTAATCATTTTATACCAATTAAACATGCATGAATGAAAAACCACTCCCATGCTTTCAGCAATTAATTTTCTTGGAATTCAACCACATTTGGTCCCACTCTGACTTAGGTGTAGACTAAAATCATAGAGACGGGACTAAAATTTGGTGATCGTACACCACTCCGATTGGGTCGTGGTGGTAGCACCCCCATACCTAGTTATCACATCGTAGATTCCAATCCACTGAAACCTTCATAAAAGCTGACGTCCTAATTTATATAAAAAACAAGTAGGGTCCGTCTTTCCCATTGAATTACTAAAAATAAAAAAAAGTTAGGACTCAAATAGGAATAAAAGCTTCTATGTCTATTCTTTAATGTTTTTTTTTTTTCCCCTTTGAAGTGCATCTATCTCAATGTAATTCATGTTATTGCAGTATCTATATGAGCAAGGGGCAAGAGCATTTTGGATTCATAACACAGGGCCAGCAGGATGCCTACCATCTTCAGTTATAAATTATCCTTTGAAGCCCCACAATTTAGATAAGTATGGTTGTGTGCAACCCAAAAACGAGGTGGCTCATGAGTTCAATAGCCAACTTAAACGAGCCGTATCTCAGATAAGGAAACAACTCCCATTGGCTGCACTCACATATGTGGACGTATACTCTGCAAAATATACTCTTATCACCCAAGCAAAGGAGCTCGGTAAGGCATTTATAATTCCTTGAATTAAGACTAAATATTCAAATCTAAAAAGTTAAATAAATCACTTGCATGCTCTAAGCAAAGATTAATCATAAATAGATCATGATAAACCAATTTAGTTGTCTTACTTTGGTTTTCATTTATAATTTGATACAAGGAAAGAGTATCTCTCTCTTTGTCTCACAAGTACACACACATACACATACACAAAAACACACACATACCATTAACTGGTTTCTATTTCTATCCCTCTTATAACTAACATAAATTGACCAATATTTTTCCGAAGGACATAGTTTCTATGAGTCCACATAGAAATGAGTCACCTCTTAAAAATCTATTTTTGAGATGGATTTTTGGACTTGATTTTCAAGGACATGTAATCTCTAACATGGAGATCATGAATATGAAAAAATAAATAAATTTTAAAAATTAAAAATAAATCTTTTATTAAGAAAACAATTGGACTGTTAGCTTCAATTGTTTTTAGATAGACCACTTATTCGCATCTATCTTTAAGATGGATGTTTTATACATTAGGATGTTTTTGAACCTCGATAAGCTGCATAAAATTACAAACATATTTAGTTTTCCCAATGTGCCCTTTTGTTGTGGCAGGGTTTGTTGATCCGTTTGTGTTTTGCTGTGGGCTCGCGGGAAACATTAACATTGGATGTGGGAGAAAGGCCATTATCAATGGGACCCAGGTTATTGGTGGTTCGTGTGCGGACCCTTTGTCGCACGTGAGCTGGGATGGGGTTCACTACACTCACGCTGCCAACCGTTGGATATCAAATCACATCCTGAATGGCCACTATTCTGACCCTCCGATTCCTATCACGGAGGCCTGTTATAACTAATAAATACAATCAAGTTCCTAGGAACCCATGAAACAATAACAGAAAAGACCACGACTTGTGAATTTCCTCTTAACAAACCCCTTATATAGGAAATTATAATTTTTGTTTTTCTTTTTGAAAAACCCTCCGCCTTCTCTCTCATAAGAAAAACCGAATTCATAGCATCATTATTATCATTTTTGCCTTTTCTCAATTAATTGGGATCGGCTAATTTATAACATACCAAAATAAATCAAGAGAAGAAAAATCCCATGCATATTAAACTATAAAGCTCAATCTATGATTCTATATAAGAAAAAGGCCCAAAACCCAATTTATTGGAAAAGTATAGAACGAGACCATTTACCTTTAATACGAAGTGGTCACATTAATCATGACCATTGGATGTGCAATTGAGTGGCTATAATTATTTCATTGATCAATTTCAAACTTCAAAAGAAATTTTTTCGAACTTTGTCACACATCCAAGCTATCAAATTTCATATCAAATGATTGTAAAGAATTATAACCACCTTGTATCAAAACTAAATGGTCTCATCGTATACAATCCTCAATTCATATATATCGCACTAATACTTAATTCATAAATTGACGGTATCAAAAACCCCATGACCTTGACTCCAGGGTAATCTATACATCGGGCGTGGCTCAAAATTTATGCTTTATATTGCACATTAACTCTAACCCTTGGGACTTGGTATTTGGACGAAATAATGTTTTACATTTCCATTGTTTGGAGTTGTAAAACCTGACTTTTAATAGGATCACTTTCCAAGTTTCTAGTTTTATTTTTTTGACACTCTTTTTATATCATTTAATTGATTTTAAAGTTCTAAGGTAATTCTTATTTTCTGTTTACTCTCTTATTTATTTTTGAAAAAAATTATAAATGCCTCCAAAATGAATCCTGTTGACTTCCACCCTTCAACATACCTTAAATCTAAAAACTATTTTTTTTATATTTACTTTTAATATAAAAATAAAAAAATTAAAACTAAAATGCCTTTCTTATCTCTCACTCTCTCTATCTACCCTCTGTCTCTCTCTTTACCCAAGACGCATGTTTCTTGAGAAATAAACCTTTGGGATACCACTAAGCCATATCTGATAATATGCTCAAAGTAGCTTCATAAGAGGACAACATTAATGGGAAACGCAAAGGACAATGTTCAACTCCTTAATAGGGTATTTTAATGCGCACAAATTGAAAGCATCTAAGAGCCACAATTGCTCTGTCTTGGGCAAAGTTTTGAAAGCAAGAGCTAGGGCTGAAAACTTCGAGGTTCCCGATCCCAAGAAGGATTCTTATTGTGCTTGGCCTCCATATGAGTCAGATTTGCAGGGTCAGTCATCCATTGTTAAAAGGGGTCGAGCCCATGCCAACAAACGATAAGAAGGGACGGCATAATACTGGATATGTTGTTGAGGTTATAAATAAGAAAGGACAGCATGAGGGGCTAATACTGGATAAGTTTTTGAGGTTTTAAATGGCCATCTTTATTTTTCTGGGAATACGCGTCTTCTTTATTCCCCAAATAATGCTCACTAACATTCGTTCGCTTTCATTAGAGTGCCTCCCAAGTTTAATTCTCGCTCTCCCTCCCACTCTCGTTAATATATTTTATGACTATAATATTACTTTTTTGTCAATAATATTATTGTTGTTGTCAATATTGTAACAATATGAACATTTAATTTATGTTTAAAGGTAAATGCTTACCATCATATACTTTATGATTATGAATACGAGTCAGTTACATATCGGATCTAACTGAAACCGTGAAGACCAAAATTTGAATCCATACCCAAACCCAAAATTGGGTGTACCTCCCATGTCTTAATTCTCAACGGGTCCATTACCACCCCTATGTGCGTCCCCAAGTTTAACTCCCTTTTCAATCTGTCCCTCATGTTTGAATGCTTTCTATGTTTAATCTCCTTCTCTATGTGTAAACTTTTACCACCCGTAGTTATAACTCTAAAGTCTACACTCTTAAAAGTTGCCAGCTGTCCTTCATTTTGTTCGATTCATGAATCGATATAAATGACAAAAGCATGTCCGGATTAATAGTAAGAAACAGAGAAGTAAAGCAACCACCTGGCAGCTTTATCCTCACATATTTTTCCGCTTCACCCATATAAAAACACTACCGAATCGAATACGGCAAAACCCAAGTGTCTCACAGCTCACAATTGATGTTGTGAGCCCTCACATGCCCAACATTGATATTATATATCTCTCTCTCATTCACTCTCTCTCTCTCTCAATAAACGCAACCCATTTCCCAGAGAGAGAGAGAGAGAGAGAGAGTGGTGTAGCCGGCGCAAGTGCCCGGGTTCGAGTCCTGAGAGCGATCATTTTGTGTCTCAGCCCTCTCTGGATCGCAGGACTAGCACCGGGTAACGGCCCTTTTAGAGAGATAGTGGTCTTTGAAGTAGAGAGAGAATGGGTATGTTATGGTGGGTTTTGCTCTTGGGTTTTAGTTGGAATGGAGGAGAGAGAAGAATGGTGATGGGAAATAGTAATAACAAGTGTGAATTCCCTGCAATTTTCAACTTTGGTGATTCAAATTCAGATACCGGCGCCATCTCTGCCTCCTTTTCCCAGGTTGCTCCACCTAATGGTGAGACCTTCTTTGGCAAGCCCATGGGGAGGGTTTGTGACGGCCGTCTGATCGTTGATTTCATTGGTATGTAGCCTCTAATTTATGGTCCTGATTTTTGTTTTACTTATCTTTAGCGTGGAATTGTTATGATTTGTTTACAATCTATGTGCTCATGTATCCTCAGTGAAGGTTTGTGAACCGACCTTTCTTCTTCTTTGATGGAGAAATAGTACATCTAGGCCGTCCGATGGTCGAGATTGACGGTGGACGATGCATGAAGGCCATGCTACATTTAACATTATATAGTTTTCCTTTTTCACTGCTTTGCTCGGTCAAAGATATGGTCGAGATTCGAAGCTGGTTCGTTTCTCGTACGGTCTAATATACTCTTGTAATTTTTATTTTGAAGTCTATTTATTTTGTCCAGGAAAAAGTTTACATAAGGGTCTAATTTTATATGTAAGGTGCACTTAAAATATCTAGTAGAGTATCATGAAGTTGAAAACATTTGAAATGATCATTGCGAGTTCCACATGTATGGTATGCAGAAAAAGAACACTGTCAAGTCTTAAAAATGGTTTATCTTTTCACACGTTATATGAACCGTTTATTTTTGTGATTTTGAGTGTTTATAAATTTGTTCGATAAGCACTAGTTTTAGAATTTTAAATTTTATAAATTGGGTTAACCTTGAATTTTAAAATTATCATAAGATTTTTGATATCTGCCGTTTAGAGATGCGCCTTACTTATAAAGTATAAGGTAGAACCGTTATACAAACCTCACCAGCTTGTGTGAACCTAGGGCATTTGGTTCCGGTTAGATATAGCACACAAATTCTTTTTGGCTCGATGATGAAGCATGTAAGAAAAAGATTTATCAAATGCACATAAGGTATGAACTCGTTATTTAATTACAAATATCCCGTTGAAATCCAATGATTATGACTTGGGATAGTTCAAAAAGCATAAAATGTTTAATAGTTAGTCAGACTCAGTTCAATCTTGGTAAGTTTCCCTTTAAAAAACTCAGAAAAATTGTTTGTTTGGACTAGATAAGCTCATACCGTTCATTTCAGTGGCTCTAGATTTAGGGGTGCCAATCAGGTCGGATCGACTTGACGACCCAGGGGGCTAACCCGATCTGGGTACAACTCTAAAACCTTGGACCTGAGTTGGATCCTATTCAGATGGATCCTACCCACCCGACCATACCCTATATATATATATATATATATAAATGAAAAAGTCTTCCCAGCGATAACAGGAAAAAATGAGCGGTGATTTTACCTACTTTCATCCCCGTTCAAAGTTTATCGCATGGTCACAATTATTTGGTCGTGTTTTATTTTTCATTTATTTTTTACAAATCAGTATAACTTAAAATTTGGAGTGTGTATACATCTTAGTACGGCACACCTAATAAATAAAAAAAATCGCAAAAAGCATATTGATCAAAATACCTTTTAAATTTTTCAAAGGTATGTTGGTCAATATTTTTCATGTAAAAATATTTTTTTGATATTTTTTATAGATTCGCTTATTTTTTATGAACATGCGCTTCAGATTTTAGGTCTGATTTGTAAAAAATAAATTAAAAATGAAACACTATCTGACAATCGTGACCGTATGATGAACTTTAGAAGGGTATTCATCTTCGCCTATAGGCGTTTTGTAATATATAAATATTTTTTTTTTTAATTATAAAATTTAAAGCTTCAAAAATAGTGTAGATCAAGCAAATTTATGAAAACTTAAAAATGTTAAAAATTGACTGTCCAAAAATGCATTTCAAAATGCAATATTTTCAAAACTTGAAATCTATTTTTTTCTCATATCCAAGCATTTTCATGTTGAGATGATCAATTTGAGTATATTTGGGCATCAAAAGAATATCTTCTAGTGAAATTTTTGATGTGGGTTCTAATTTGATTATTTAGAGCCTTGGCTCTATATAAACTTCTTCCTTTTTTAAATATGTAATATTTTGGTAAATTTGCGTATATTTGAAATATATTTTTTGAATATTTTCTCATTTTTTTTTTTACTAGGTTCTACAGCTGGACTCAAATTGGGTCGGTTTTGAGCGGAAGTTTTAGACCTGATGGGTCTAGCGTGGGTCCAAAACCCTGGACCCGAATTGGATCCAGGTCAAGTCTAGGTCCAAGTCAACCCGTACCAACCCGATTCATTGCCACTCCTGTGGAGATTTGGCCGTATATTTCATGCGTAATAGCCCTAAATTATTATTTCATAGTTTTTTATTCTTTTTTATTTTTCACTGTTTTACAGCTGAGACCTTGGGTTTGCCTTACTTGACCGCATACTTGGACTCATTGGGGAATGGATTTAGTCATGGTGCGAATTTCGCAACAGCTGGATCAACAGTTCGACCTCAAAATGTGACTTTGTTCCAAGGAGGGGTGAGCCCCTTCTCCTTAAACTATCAAGTGTTGCAATTCACACAATTTAAGTCTAGATCAAGCTTCCTTTACATCAAAGGTACCATCATTTTACCATTCTTTTACTGGTTTGTATTATTCACATGGAATTGTTGGTCTTGCGGTTGTTGCTGTGGTATATTTATAATGGAAAGTTATACGTGTGAATCTAATTGCACCTAAATTCTCAGTCATAATGGAAAGCTATACGTGTGAATCTAATTGCACCTAAATTCTCAGTCATTCGATCTTAATTGACAACTAGGATTGCTCAAGTCGAAATGTTATTGTTAAAGCATTGCTTAATTTTAATTTTTTATTTGTAAAAAAGCTTTTTAGTTGAAATTTAGGGTGTCCCATCTTCTTCTTAGGGTGCACCTAGCAAAAAAATAAAAAAAATATTTCTCATAACAATAAATAACCAAAATACTTTTATACATTTCAGGGGTATTATCTTTTTTTTTCATCACAGAAAATATTATTATTATTATTATTATTATCTGTGTTTCCCTATTAGATGTGTGTATGCCCCAAATTTCACTGCAAAATGATATATATATTAAATATAAAAAATAATATTCGAGTTGTCAGATTAAGATCTAACGTGCGAGGGCCAACTTGGACGATTGTGACTCAAGTCATATCAGACATCCATTCAGATCTGACAAGTAAGATCAGATATTACATATACCATACATGTGGGTGGGGTCATATGGAAAGCTCTCCCATACTTATTTTGGGACATGTGCCCCTTTCAAAAACTATAAAAAGGAATTACATGGATCATTTTTTTTTTTTGGGAAGAATATCCTATTATCTCCTATTATTAACTTCTATATCTCGTTAGATTTAAAAATTGAAAATATTAGTTGTAAGCAAAATGACTCCATCTTTTCTATCTTCCAACCCCCTAAACTCTTTTGATAATGTATTATTGATCTCAACAACTTATGAAATGATTTTATCTCTCTCTATCTAAAACTCCATCTCTCTCTCTCATATCGTCTTTCTCTCTCTCTCAAAACTCCATCTCTCTCGAAAACCCAAACTCCATCTCTCTCACACATCGTCGTCTCTCTCTCTCTCTCCAACTCAAACTCCATCTCTCCTTAAAACTCTATCTCTATATCTCTCTAAAACTCAAACTCCTCTCTTTTTAGAATTCCATCTTTCTCTCACACATAAGAATGTGTGCTCGTACTTGAGTTCAAGTTAAATCCCTTGGCTGGTAATCTCACCGAGAAACGAAGAGAGAGAGATGGAGTTTGAATAGGGTGTCATTTTAGGGTTTGTTTGGGTCAAAAGTTTATGATCAAAGGGGTCCAAGGGGTTATATGGTAAAAAAGATAGGGACTTATAAGTAATATTTTCAATTTTTGGGTCTCATAAGATATGAAAGATAAAAATAAAGGATAAAGAGATATTTTTCCCTTTTTTTCTTTTCTACAAAAACGTCACAAACTTTTCAAAAAAAAGTTTGTGGTGGTACCATTTATTCCCATGTGACTAATAATTGCTCCATTATTTTGCTATATCCGTACAAACAAGTGCTTATATGGAAAAGACATTGACTTAGTTTTAAAGGGGGAGATGGAAAACCTAGGGTGAAATAGCAACCCAAATCTTACTGAAATAAGAAACTGTAAAACCATATTTTTCCCTCATACATAGAAAACTTTCCAAAAATTTTGTTCACATAGAATATCCCATGGACAAGATCGAACCTTAACATTTTCCTTGTGTAGCCAAAAAAAAAAAAAAACCAAGAGAGTATCCGGTGAACGGGGAAATAATAAAGGAAAAAGTTTATATAATGCTGCAACCTTAAAATGTAGAACTATAGATTCACCTAAAAAATCTATCGGAAAAAGTTGTTTTATTGTTGAATATGAAAAAAACAAAAAATTTTAGGTCCTAAAAATAGTGCATATTGTAACACATTATCTACAATGTCTATTTTCAAGATTTTAATATGTAGATCTACTCGATTTTAACTATTTTTAGTAAAATTTTATAATTAGATATGAAAATAGATTTTCAAATAATCTTAAGAATTTTTAACAATTAAATTACATGTTATGATAAAATTTGTCTATGCACCTTAATTACATTGTTTGAGGTTGCAACATTATAGAAACCACACCCCAATAATAAAAATCCCATATAACTATGGAATATCTTTTGAATTTTGAGTTTGGTCAATAGAATAAATACAAGAGTCTAATTTCACATCCATTAGTTAAGATTACAACTGTTTGTAGTTTAATTTCACATATATTAATCAAGATTAATTGTGACCACCTTGTATCAAAAGTAAATAGTCTCATTGTATACTTTTGTTTATAATAATAAATAATAGTAGTTGTAGTGTACTTATTTAAATTAACGAGATAATGTTAATGCGTGTAGCCAGCATATTCACAAAGTCTACTAAACCTAGTATTCTCAACTCAAAATTTGTTTTTTCAAATTACTTGAAACAATGAATATATTGTATAGTTTAAGGGGTATTTTCCACAGTCTAAGAGATTCTCATAAATTCCTATCAAGAGTAGGGAGGTTTTGGAAAGTTACCTTGATTTCTATTGGTGTTGTTCTTGGCCCAATTTACTCCAGTTTACAACATATAAACACTCAAGTAAACCATGGAAGGTTGAAGTAACCTCGCATTCAATTTACAGAAACACCTTCACATGATCCTCTCTCCTAAGTATTAGGACCCTCAATGTTAAGAAAAATATTTACTCATTGAGATGGGACAGACCTCTTTTTGTTGGGATTGATGTGAAATGGTTGAGAATAGGAGTCGTGGTGGTAGCATCACTTGTGTCCTAACTAAGGTCTAGATTTTCATTCTCACCTAATGCAACTACTAACGCTTTCAAAAAAAAGTAGGGGCTTATCATCCCCATTAAATTACCCCAAAAAAAAAACAAAAAGAAAAAAAAATTGAAATGGTTATCAGAAGAAAATTCAGCAAACTTAAGATATACTTTGAGATCGATTTAACAAGAACCACTTAAGAAATTCATCGAACACATGTTATGGATTAGACGTTACACACTTGATAATATCAAAATTGCATCCAAAAGGGCTGTCCAAACTAAAACAATAAGCCCCAAAACTACACTTCCTCTTTTAATTGTTTTTTCCTAAACTTATATTATTGTCATAGGTATAATAAAGGGGAACGTCCTCACTAACATGTTAACGACCAAAAAGGAGCATGAAAATGGTGCACAGTTGACGATGAAACGCCTATCTTTAAGCTGAAAGGAAGGCCGAAATAAATTTCCAAAATAGATGGTGCAAAATTCTAATTTTTTAATTTTTGAAAATTTATTTTATTTTAGTTCATGAATCCTTAAAATTTTGGATCCAAGATATATGTCTGGAGGGGAGATGCATACGAATAGGTGAGTCAGCCAACTCTTCTTCATCTTCATCTTCAGGGAAGACAAACGTTCCAAAGCCCGAGGATTTTTCTAAGGCACTGTACACATTTGACATAGGCCAAAATGACCTTGCTGCCGGATTCCGAACAATTTCCGACGATGCGGTCCGAGCTTCAATCCCCCAAATCCTAGCCAGCATCTCTCAAGCAATCCAAGTAAGCTAATCCGAACTCTATTCTGTGATCAATTTCCTTTTCCTTTCTACATTTTGAAAATAAAGCGATCCAAATTTTTCATTAAGTATTAAACCCATGAATGGGGGCCATCAAGAATCCACCAAGCTAATCAAGGCATATTGCAGGAGATCACCTATTGAATAGTTAACAAGAAATGCTCAAAAATCGAATGCCGAAAGAAATTCAATGGAGTTCATTTTGATATGAAAATATATTTATTTATTGAAAATTCTATGGAAAATTCCACATTAACTACTTAAAAATAATTCACCTCATTTATCTTTGATACAAAGAGGTTACAATTATTTTTGTCCTTTAGATTTCATAATGGGTGGTTGTAAGAGTATCATGGATTATACACAAAGTTCCAAAACAAAATTCTCGGACTTGGTGACTCACCTCATGCCATCCAAGATCTGATCTCTTTCTACAAAAGGTAAATGGTCTACCATCCTTTCATATTTTTCATATTTTACATTAGACACTTTTTTTATCTTCTTCTTTTTTTCTTTAATATTTATATTGTACATCTTTCTTTTTTGATTTGTTTTTATTTTTGTCAAGACTAATTCCAGTTTGGAACTTGAAGTTTCGAATCCGACATACTTATATTTTAAGTGTCAACTTGATTCAAACTTCAAGTTCCAGACCGACCCATTTTTCGCTGATTGTTTCCGAACCACGCCTTTGCTCATGAAAAGGTTTCAATTTGGACATTGGATGCTCGAACAGGGGGAAGTTTAGGAAAAAAATATAAAAAAAGTGAAAAAATGGACTTCTACATGAAAATAAAAATATAAAATAGAAAAAGTTTACATAAGGTTGCAACCAGTGGTTTAAAAAATGGATCGATGCCGCAGATTGGACACCCCAAAAACCCATCCAGATTGGTAAATCAGCGATTTGAATCGGAAATCGATTGAATCCGTCCAATTAAATTTTAAAAAAATGTAAAAGAATTATTAAAATTTATTATAAATGTTGTTTTTTATGAATCCAATAAGAAATATGTGTGTTACATTATTATCTTTCATTTTTTTGGCACACTGCGAAAATTGAGATGTTCTTTCCCTATATGAAATTATGTTAACCATTAAATTTTCATCACATTAAAAAAAAAACATAGAATTATCATGGACAAAGTATATAATCATACATAGATTACAATAAATAATGGATTAAATCGATGAAAAAATGACTACTAAATTCTCGAATTGGCGGAAAACTTTAATCCGCTAAAAAAAACTCAAACGATTGCAACCTATCTATAATCCAAAATCACTAACTACAAAATTATATATTGAAAATGAAATTGTTGGTTTACCGTTTATAATTATTTTATTATATAAATAATAACAAATTCAAAATATCTTATTTGAAATGCATTATTGACCACTGTAAGAAAAATAGTACATTACATAATTTATAATGTAAATAAATTAATAAAAAATAAAATATTTGGCTATCAATGTAGAAATTATTAGAATGCGTATCAATTTTCGAAATAACACGTTAATTTTTAAAAAACTTAATTTTTTAGATTTCTAGAATAAATTTAGTGGAAGAGATTATTAGTAGAGATAGAGGGATATTTCAAATGGTCTCATGGTATGAACCCTATTTTAAAATTAATATTCTTAAATTTATATAAAGATTACCATATTATAAAAATAAAAATTATAATTAGTTCAGTTATTCTTAGTTTGTATTAAAAAATACTTGTTGTATTAAGAAATGTTTTTTATTTTTTTTATAAGGAATACTTGTTGTATTACATTTTTTTTTTTTTTTTGACGAAAAAATATGATACTTGTTGAATTACCTTTTTTTTTATTTATTTTTTATTTGATAAGAAAAAAAAGAAGATGTTGTTTTTTGCTTGTTGTATTACTTTTTAGTTTTTTACAAGAAAATAAAAAAATGATGCTACCAAAGTACCTTTTATTTTTTATACATTTTATTTTAATTTTTTTTACAAGAAAAAAAGAAGATGCATTGTCTGTTTTTATTTTTCAGCAAGAAATGCTTGTTGTATTACCTTTTATTTTTTTTCTTTTATTTTTTCGATGACATTATTTTCTTCTTTTTATTTATTTTTTGAAGACAAAAGTAAAACATATTTGTTCCTTTTATTTTTTTGATGATATTATTTTCTTCTTTTTATTTGTCTTTTTTTTTTAAAGAGAAAAATAAAATCGCAGAATAACGTCCCCAAGCTCGATTCAAACTTGAGACGTCCCAAGAAGAAATGTAGTTGATAAACACGGCAGCCCATCGATCTGTGTTGAATACCTTTGTACAATAATTGTTTATATTGAACAACGTTTCAATGTTATATCACTCGGCTCAAATCCCACATCGAAGTATCAAACAAACTTTAAGAACTATAAGTACCTCTTCAATAGTGTCACTGTTAGTGTGATCGAGAGAAGGGGTACACCTGCAGTACTATCTTTTAATCTAAATTATCAAAATATCCTTGTTCAGTGACTTACCATCAAACTATCCTTGTTCAGTAACTCGTCGACTTATGATGTCATAAGCCGCATCATGATTTATGACATCATAAATTATCCAAATATCCTTATTCAGTGACTCGCCGACTTATGATGTCATAAGCCGCATCGTGACATCATATGAACGACTTACTATTCAAAATCGTCGTGATTTATGACATCATAAATTATCCAATTATCCTTATTAAGTGACTCGTTGACTTATGATGTCATAAGCCGCATCGTGATTTATGACATCATATGAACGACTTACTATTCAAAATCGCCGACTTATGATGTCATAAGCCGTATTGTGATTTATGATATCTTATGAATGACTTACTATTCAAAATCGCGGCGTCATAAGCTGCTTAGAGTCGTGATTTATGACATCATGAATGACTTACTATTCAAAATCGCACCGCTTAGAATCGTGATTTATGATATCATATGAATGATTTACTATTTAGAATCACCGATTCACTTCTAGAGTCGGGTGATTCTCGGTTTTACACAAGAAACGACACGGGATGTCTGATTCCCGTAACTTACTATTTAAAATCCCTGATTCACTTCCAGAATCGGGCGATTCTCAGTTTTACACAAGAATCGATGGACACGGGATGACCAATTCCCGTGTCGACTAAGGCGAGTCGTAACCGATTTTTAAAACCTTGGTTGCAACCTTAAACTGTAGAATTGAAAATGTGCCTCAAAACTCCATTGAAAAGGTTGTTTAATGTTGAAAAACCCTCTAGTTGATCATCTCGCCGTCGTAATTAATGAATGTGAAAAAATAAAGATATCAAGTTCCAAAAATAGTGCATCTTGCGACGCATTATCTACAGTTTATTTTCAAGATTAAAAAAAAAAAACTTGATTTTAACCCTTTAGTGAGTTTAAAATTTTATAATTAGATATTAAAATAATTTTTTTTATAATCCCAATAATGTTTTACACCAAAATTATATGTTATGATAAAATATTGAGGTCGGCCTTAATTGAATCGTTTAATGTTGCAAGAATTATACGGGGCCTATTGGACTTTTATGTAAATTTCCTAGTTTCTTCAATATTGTATTTCTAAAGCGACGTACGTTTTCTGGTGACGGTTGAAAATGAAGAACATGGGCTCTCACATGCAAGGGTACCACCCAATTTGACTTGGCGAGTCCTGAGCTGATCTACTCATTTTCTAACAAAGAAAATCCAAAAAAGAGGGAGATTGGAGTAATTCCAAGTTTTTTTGCTGCTCCATGCTTGCTCAGGTTCTATTATAGTTTACTGTAGCAGTGACCTTTTCTCGTTCCTCTCTTTTTTTTTTTTTTAATTATTATTTTTAATTATTTTTTTATTTTTGTTATTATTATTATTATTGTTATTATTGTTATTTTTGCATTTAGTAGCTCAATGATGGGATTTGAAATCGAAATATAGTGTTGCAATCATCAACACCTTGACCATTCATGCCGAAACCGTTGAATCATACTTTAAGTAGCACTTTCATTTCTATTAATAATCGAGATATGTATGTTTAATTTAGATTTATGCTTAGAGAATTTATTACATGATTGTTTGGAAAAACTTTATCTTAAAGTCTTGTTTGGCTCCCTAGAAAAGAAATTCGTGAAAACTGCAAGGAGAGTGAGTGAACTGAGAGTTCCAGGGGGCGGGGGGGGGGAAGAGAGGGCATATGGATTTAGGATGGAGAGATGGCAGGGGGGTGAGGAGGATTATTTTGGGCGAATTAAATTTTTCGAGTATGTAGTTGCAAGATCCTTTTCCAAAATGAAGAAAACGGGGATGATGGGAAGATTTCTCTCCAATTTCAGGCATCAATAACTGGATCATTGGAGATGCTTTAGGAATTGACCATGCCGATCCATGCATAATATAATGAAAAATGGATACACATTTGTGTTTGTTACTTAATATAGGCAATGGGTCTAAAAAAATATTTAAAAGGATGTTGGTGTTATATTAGTGGGTGATGGTTTAATAATACAAGAGGACAGTTCTGTAAAAGCAACATGAAGAATTGCTCATATACAGTGAGTGAGGCTTATTTAGGTAGGAAGAAAGTTAGAATATGTGTATTTTTTGTATGTCCGGGCCTTATGCCCCTATAAAAGATGTACAATATAACCCACGTTATGTGTGTACAAGAACGTCATTTTTATAGGGTTACAGAGTGTTATACAGCTTGTATAGGCTTATTTAAAAAATGTTCTTCTTATAGGGTTACATAGTGACATACAGCTTGTATAAACTTATTTACAAAGTCTATAAAGACGGTTGCATGTCAACGATGACATGTTATATAAGGTAAAATTAATACAAATGTACAAGACAATAATGGCTCTTCCAAGTGTCATTCTATTTCGCTTAAGGGACATCTTTTTCACATTATAGGCTCATGTAAGTGTTTATAGATCTGTTCGATCTACTATTTTTGTAGTTTTAAATTTTAAAATTAAATATAAAAATAAAGTTTCATACCATCGCAAATATTTCTAGTACCAAAAAATATATCCCGATAGTATTCAAAGGTACGTCTTGCTTTGATTGTTTGGGGCCTCAGTCCTATGCAAACCACACCCATATTACAATTGTTTGAAATAACCGGTAGAGGGACCCGGTGTTATTAGTTAACAATTTCTCTTCCCTATGCAGGTTTTGTATGGGGAAGGCGCAAGAACATTTTGGATACACAACACAGGTCCAATTGGGTGCTTACCATTTTCCGCTATGTATTATCCTTTCAAACCCCGTAATATAGATAAATACGGCTGCGTTTATACACAAAATGATGTGGCTCAAGAGTTCAACAGGCAACTCAAGTTAATGGTGTCCCAGTTAAGGGAACAACTTCCTCATGCTGAACTCACGTATGTGGATGTTTACTCTGCAAAATTTAATCTCATCAGCCATGCCAAGGAGGAAGGTTAGAAAATATTCACTCTTTCACTTAAGCCAAAGTGCCCAAGCAGTAGTATAGACGCAGCCCCACATGACAGAGAGTTCATGGGTTCAAAGTCCCAACCATGCACACTTTTCATTGTTTGGAGCTAAGGAAAAGCTTCCATACTTTCCCTACTATATAGAAATTATACATTTGTCCCTCTATCCAGCCATCCGATTTAGATAAAATGACTTACGGACCATTTGATCTAGATCCATCGTTTCGGAGTATTTTATTTCGATTTTTTGTTTACAAAAAATATGAATATGAAATTTAGTACGTGCAATCATCTCAATGTGGTGCACCTAAAAAACTGTATTTAAAAAATATTTCGGATAAAATGAAATAACCAAAATACTCCTCAAATGTTTAAGGATATTTTGGTTGTTTTGATATTTATGCAAAATATGTTTTAATATTATTAGCATGTGCGACTTTAAGAGAGGAGTGGAAGTTCAAATTTTGGTGTCAAAATATTTTGTAAAAAAAGAATTTAAAAATAAAACAATGTGGAAGCAGGACATTGTGTTTGGGTCCATCTCAACTGTCCATTCATATTAGATGGTTAGGTAGGGGAAGAATATAACTCTTATATAGTAAGGGAAATAGAAAAGGTTTTCCCTCGAGCTATTACGAAGTTATATTGTTCTAAAGGGTTTTAAGCCAATTCAAAACCATAACCAATAGGTACTAATCTGGGTTTAGGACCGTCAAATTTTTACTGGTTTTCACTTGCTCCTTTCCTCACTCTTATTTATTTATTTTTTTCTTTCAATAGAGGAAACCTCCTAAAACTAGTGAGCCAGTTGGGAAGTTCCAAACTGGCTTAGAATCGATGGTTGGACCCACTATTCCAGCTTTTGGGACACTGGTTGTACTTTAAATACATAGGATAAGGTGCACAAAAGTTCACAAAGTAGAGAAGACTTGAGATGGTATATATGTTGCTTGGCAGCTTACTAAGCTAATAATCAACCCAATATAAATTAAATGAAAGGTATAATTTACTCATGTATAGGTGCATAGATATTAAGAATTTGACAAGAACTATAACATGAATGACATGGTTTTTATGGTAGGATTTGTTGATCCCTTGAAGTTCTGTTGTGGATATGGGAAGGACGGCTACAATGCTTGGTGTGGAAGGTCAACAAATGTGAATGGGACTATCGTTTATGATGTATGTGATAAGGCATCAATGTATGTGAGTTGGGATGGGATTCACTACTCCGAAGCCGCAAACCGTTGGATAGCAAACCACATCTTCAATGGTCAATTATCAGAACCCCCATTGCCATTGACTCAAGCTTGCCATCGGCTTACGTGAAACCGTAACCCGTTATTGTTGGGGTTTTAATGGTTTTGAAGAGGATACGTGTGTTTGGCCTCAACGACTCTATAGTACCCACCTTAAATAATTAATTGTTGTAATATCAATTATGTTAGTTAGCAAAGATATTTTAATTTATTATTATTTATTTTTCCCCTCTTTGTCTTCAACAAGATATATCTAGTGTTTTAAAACCCAGATAAAGATAAGTAGTGTGACGATCCATCCCACTGATTTTTATCGAAGAGCGGATCATTGATCTGGATCGATTTGAATCGGCGATCTGAAAAAGCATCAAATTTATAAAAACACGGAAGTCTATGAACCCCTTAAAAGATTTAAAAATTTTTTTTTTTTAACCCCCTTTATACCTTTTTGTATTATCTAAATTGTAATACCAACCATCCTTATTGTCTAAAGTCATGCAAACCCTAGAAAGTTTGCCCCCTCTCTTTTTCTCCCAAGCACACTCTCTCTTAACCACCCTCTCAACCACCCTTGAACCCCCATCTCTTTCTCTCTCATAATCATTCCAGTGAACCAAAGAAGTTGCTTAAAAGTAGCATCTCGAATTCGATTTAGATCATTGGGCCATTAAGAAAAAGAAAAAATAAATAAATATGAAAAGTTAAAATGGTCGGTATGGCGTTAGCTATTATTTTATTTAACTTGCTGGGGATTTGTGGGCTTTCTATAGGCCTAACGTAGGGGGGTGGAAATGGGTCGGGTCGCGTCGCGTCGGGTTTGTATCCGATTGGACTCCGACCTGAAAAAAATGATACGAGACCTAGGCCCTACCTGAATTTATTGGACATGGATCCATACTTGAAAATATAGTGTGGGATTTGAACCCGTATTTAACCCAAAAATTAAAATATCTATGCATTTAATTAGATTTAAATATATTTTATATATTGTGACTTAAAAATATTACTGGACCTGGACCTGATCGGATCCGTACCCGAACCCGAATAATGTTCAGGTCCAAGATCCTAAAGGGATGACCCCAAAAAAGGGTGAGTACTGTGTGTTCCTTGACGCCCTTTTAAAGAGACCAATAGGTTTACTTGCTCCTCAAGAAAATAATACCCTCAACTTTTTTGATGAAACATAGGTATGGTAGTTTTTACTATTACTAAACCTAATAATCTCTACCTTGATAGGAAAATCATCATAATTGTCTTGTCAGTCTTTATGAATAAATTTTTTGATTTCGTATTTCTTGCATCCATTATGAAATTTTGACAAACAATTTGCTTTCATATTTCCCCACCTCTAACTCTACATTTTTTTTTTTTTCTCAACATAAAATGTAAACTTTTAGAGTCATACACATCGTATTCTCTGATACCAATTGTAGGTCTTCAGAAACCATTCACTTGTAGAACAAGGAATCCAAACATGGGGATCCCACCTAAAATTGTATACATAGGTAGTTGCAAATTAGGTGAATAAAACGACAAAGGAAGTGCGAGAAATAAAGCAAACATAAAAGACACATAGTCTATATGGTTCACCCCTAAGGGCTACAGTTACGGCCTCAACAAGTAGGAATCCACTATCATAATGAAGATTATAATTTTGGGTTATAAGAGATACACCTTTCTCTAAATATTGGTAAAATCATAATTGATCGTCTCCTCGCTTTCATGACCAAGCAACATCAATATTATCATTTTCAACACTATATTGTTATTACAAAAAGAAACTTGAGAGCAACCAAGAGAGTTTTTCTATCTAGAAACAAAAATTTAACTAATCCAAAATCCCATGATAAAATTGTATCTCTCTACGAGCTCATTTTCTCTATCTTGGAGACTGATCTTCTTCTTGAGATCCCTTCCCATGACCCCGACATACGGCCTTTTAAAGAGATCAATAGGTTATCTTACTTCTAAGAATGTGAAAAAAACTATATTCTATTCATTGAACAATGAATGTTACAATGGTTTATACAAAAAGAAGGTATGTAGGTGCAGTATACAACTAGCATTTGCTATATTTGTGTGACACAAGTTTTTTAAAGTTTTAGTATACAGTTGTGCACTATGCCTATGCAATATATGGTTGCTATATTTGTTCACAATCCCCCTCAAACTCTTGATGGTTTGAAAGTAAGCATTTAGAGTTTGGAGAGAAACTGTGAGAAATGATGCGCGTAATAAGATTCCATAAAAAAGCCCGGAAGTTGCTTAGAAGAGGACACATATGTGATAGAAATAGTGCCATCCATATATTCTTGCCACACAAAATGACAATTAACTTCAATATCGTTGGTGTGTTCATGAAAATATAAATTCTTTGAAAAATAGATGGCGCTCTTATAATCACAATATAATAGTGTAAGAAATAGTAATATCCTCACCCATGACAACCAACAACCAACGAAGCCAAACAATCTTGGTGGTAGTATGTGCCATGTCCCCATATTCGGCTTCAGTTGTAGATTAGACAATACATTTTTATTTACTGTTTTCCCATAATATAAGAAAAATCTCGAACAAAAGTGAAAATCTTGAAGTGGGCTTTCTGTTAGTCAGAGGTTTCCTATAAAATCGGAGTCAATTTATGATTGAAGCTAAAGCGAGGAAGAAGAAGACAAGAATAAAACTTGATGCATAGTATCCCGGACACAACGAATTATTTGTGATACTGCAGCTAGATGAATAGATTGAGGAGCATTCAAAAATTGGTTGACCAAAGCAATTGCATAAAGAATATGGCTGGGAAACTATGAGAGATATCTGTTTCCCATCCTGTTATTAATAAAATTTTGGGTCAGGGAGAAGTTCGTCATCCCTAGCCCAAAGTTTGAACATTCAATTCAGTGGGGGTATCAACTCGTTTGGTATTATTAACTAGGCATATTTAAGCTGAGAGAGTAGATAACTATGACCAACTTTTAAACTAAAAAAGAATGTTTTACAGCTTCGGGAGATAACTCATCTCTCTCAGTTGAGGGCAGGAGTGCAAAACACATACACACAAAGAAGGGAATAGTCGTAGTGAGTGAAAAGTTTTTCAAAAGGTAACTTCCCAAATAAATTAGATGATGGCATAATATTGTTAAGATAAATTGTTGTGCAAACCACTTCTGGCCATAAAGCTTTTGGGGATAAAAGTGGATAAAGAAGTGTTATGACAAATTTTACGCGATACAAAAGAAATAGAAGGATTTGGCATATGAAATGAATCTAGGTAGTATAGATCTCCAACTTTAGGCCTACCCAAAATCATCTTCCTTGACTGCCGATCATGCATGTAAAAACCAAGAGGACAAAATATAATATTCCAATTTGAGCGAGTGATTTGACTAACAGAAAGAAGATTCATGATAATAAAAGGGGCATGATAGATATTATAAACCTTTAATCTATCAGAAGGATTAGAGGTAAGAGAAATAAAACTATTTTTTAAACCTTTCGTAGTGACCCCATTAACATTACAAGTGGTATCAGAAAAAGATTTATAATTAACCAGGATAGACTCATTAGTTGTCATATGACGAGAAGCTCTTGAGTCGATCAACCAAGAAGTGAAAATAGAGCTACCATAAAGAATGCAGAGGGTCAAGAGGCCAATCACAACTGTAAAAGCATAGCAGTTGCTCCAGTGTGAGTGTCACTGTCGATAAGCTAATACTAGCATAATAATCTAATTTTCCATTGGAATGGTTAAAAAAATTACACCAAATTCACCTTATGGGGCTAGAATAAGCTTTGACTGGGCAAGAAATAGAGAAGAGAAGAAGTACCCTAGTGAACAATAGAAACTACAAATTAGATGTAACAGAATAAAGTAGAGTAGATAATTGGGAACAAGAAAGATATTTTTAATAATAATTATTATTTTTTATTTTTTTTAATAAAATAACATAGAATGATAGAGGCGTACTAAGATAACTGATATCCCAAAAAAGTAGAGCGACGGAGAATGAGAAAATATATGACAGGAAATGGAAAGAGATGTATCCTCTAAACTCAAACAAGGGACGAGAACCAGAGGCCTTCTTTGTTGTGAGCGGAAGCTCTAAACCCGATGGGTCGATTTTATTTTTTTTGGCAAATAAAGTACGATAAATAAAGTATGAAACATACATATACAAGAACACAAAGATTTACGTAGTTCGCCCCGAAATCCACGGGAACGAAACTGAAATCTAATATACCAATGAAAATTATATAAAAAGTTTTGGAACATAAAGTTACCTCTCTAACCTCGACAAAATTAAGCCGAGCAAACCCTTTTAAACCACTCTCCCTTCCTTCTCTTTACTTTTGACAACTATTACCGACAATACTAGATAGAGATGCAAGAGCAACAAGAAATTGACTTTCTCTCTAACTAAAAGGAAAATAATAAAAAATCTCTAAAGAACAACTTCTTTACAATAAACAAGCCTCTCAATTTTCATGAGATACAATTACAATGTTCTTTCCATAAGAAGCTCTCTTCTCTTTAAGAGGAAACCTTGCATCTTATGCACAAGAGGCCTTGCCCCTCCTTCTCTCTCTAGAGGAATAACCGTTCTCATATGTTGACTCAAATAGAGTACACTAATTATCTTCGCTTTCATCCCATATATTGGAGATTCAGATTCCATATTAAATAAAAAATTTCCTATTGTTCTTACATATATCTCAAAAGATCAAAAGATATATCCAAAAGTGTTATTTTTTTTTGGATTTCTATTTCATTTAGGAAACCTATCAAATTTCAATATCAACCAAACATAATAAGAAAATAGCTCAATTCCATGTGATATAAGAATATCTCAATCCCATATAATATAAGAATATCTCAATGTCAGTGATTTTGGATAGCACTAAATCCAACATTCTTGACCTTAGCATTAGTGAATGAAAACTAAGAAGAAGCCGTGACCACATCAAGAGAGATAATGGTGATAATTGAGAGATGGAAAAAATATTAGACCTGATATTTACGCCAGATTCTAGCAAGCAGAAGCAAAAAAAGTCCCTGGCAAATCTTCAGCAGGAAATTACCTTGTCAGAAACACAACCAATCCTTATCTTGAGTACCCAGATTCGTTGCAGATTGTGGGATTACTGAAAGCCATTTAAATCAGTAGCAACAATGATGGAATTATAGAAAATCAATCTAGACAGAGTAGGCCTCTGATACCATGAAAAAAGAATTGAATTTTACTCTTTGGTCAATTGATGATGATACAATAATGCGATTTATATAAAAAAAGAGGCATGTACATTCAATTATAACTAGCAATTGCTATAAGCGTAAGATGCAATTTTTATACACATTTATTAAATAGTTGTGCCATTTGCCCATGCAATATATAGTTACTACACTTGGCGAAATTTCTTCTCTTACTTTTATCATAATACCCTCAATTGTTTTAAAGAAGACATAGACAATCAATCTAGACAGTGTAGGGCTCTGCTACCATGAAAGAAGAACTGAATTTTACTCATTGATCAATTGATGGTACAACAATGCGATTTATATAAGGGTGCAGTTGGCATACAGATGCATCCATAGCTGTAGTGGTAAGGTGCACTTTCAAATTTTATCATGGTATATAATTTTGGTGTAAATTGTTGTTAGGATTATCTCAAAATTTATTTTATATCTAATTATAAAATTTTAAAATGGTTAAAATCAAATAGATCTATAAACATAAAAATCTTGAAAATAGACGGTGTAGATAATATGTTGTATAATGCACTATTATTTTTCATGGTCATACATCTCGATGATCAATCAAAGGGTTTTTCAACATTAAAACCACCTTTTCCGATGGATTTTTGAGATACATCTGTAGTTCTGCATTATACGGTTGCATCCTTATATAAACTTTTTCCTTTATATCATGCAATGTACAACTAGCCATTGCTATATGCGTAATATGCAATTTTTATATAAATTTATTATTAGTTGTGTCATGTGCCCATACAATATACGGTTACTACACTTGAGAAATTTATTTTCTTATTTTTATCATAATACCCTCAATTGTTTTAAAGAAGACATGGTTATGGCGACTTTTTACTATCACCAAATTAAACATATATTGATTAATTTTTGTCTTTATTAGTTGATGGGAAGGACATTTGGGTCATGATGCCAACATAAAGTCGTTGTGGGGTTTTTAGTTAGGGGTTCCGTGTGAAGCATCTTTTAGCTCTAGCCATTCATGTAATTTTTTTAACAAAGTTGTAGGGTTATATGGAAAAAGGAATAAGTTTATCTAAGGTTAAGGCGCCGAGCAGTCAAATTGAGGCGTACCATAAATATTCACTAGAAGAAGTTATTTTGATATCGAAAAACCTTCCAATCGATTATCTCAACCTCGATATATATGATTTCGAGTTTGAAAAATAATGCATCTTATAATGCATCATCGAGGCAGTCAATTTTCAATATTTTAAAGTGTTCATATATCTACTCAATATACATTATTTTTGAATCTTTAAATTCTTTAATTAGATATAAAAATAAAATTTCAAACCATCAAAAACAAATTGTTCTATTAAAAAATCATCTTTCAACCCTATTTAGAGGTACGCCCCACAACCCCACAACCACATACAAACCACACCCATGGAAATATATCATTATAAGCCTCAAAGAAATTTCAATTTCATGATATACCCTACCATTTTAGGAAAAGATTTGATAGGGCTGCATCCCTATCAAAATAATCAAATCCTCACCTCATAACTCATCATAAATTGCAAGTCAAGCATTGGAAAATCTTTCATCGATTATCTTGGCTTGAACATCATGGTTGTGAAAAAAAATTACTATTTCAAACTCTAAAAATAATATCTATTATAACAAATTATCTAGACCGTTCATTTTGCCTTAAAAAAATAAGTGTGCCATTTTTTGAATTTCAAATTTTATTATCGGCGTTAGAAATTGATTTGAGAGTCATCATACAAATTTGGGTGGCTGAAAGTACTTCCTCAGGATTTGAGGGGAGACTTTATTTTGTTTTCATCGTATGCCTTATAGAAACCTCTTCCGCCAACTTCCGTTACAGTCTTTAGCACTGGCCAGCCGCTTTCCGTTCAAGAAAAGCATGATTCAGTTCGAACATGGTAAACGTAAAGCAGTGAGCTGTGAATCGGCTTTAAGCACCCATCTGTTGCACAAATCAGAAAACCATCAAACCCAAGTGTCAGCAGATCTCTCACTCAACCCCACGGGGCTCTCATGCCCCTCTCTAACCCAACTCCTCTATTTATTCCCATTACGCATTCTTGTACACAGAGAGATTAGAGATCAGAGAGAGAGGGAAAGAGAATGGCTTTTCTATGGTGGGTTTTGCTTTTGAGTGTGGCTTGGAATGGAGAGGAGAGAATGATGGTTATGGGGCTTAATGGAAAATGTGAATTCCCTGCAATTTTCAACTTTGGTGATTCAAACTCTGATACAGGAGCCATCTCCGCGTCCTTTTTCGAGGTTCCCCCTCCTAACGGTGAGACCTTCTTCCGCAAGCCTTCGGGGAGGGTGTGCGACGGTCGTTTGATGATAGATTTCATTGGTATGTCGGCTCTAATACATGGTCGAGAACTTTGGACGAGCTTTTTAGGCTGAAGTTAACATGCACTGTGATGGTGATGATGAATGATACTAGATTTGATTGGCTAAGGTGTTGATTATTGCTGTAAATATTTCCTCTAAATTAAGAATAATAATAATAATCATGACAAGTAAATGCCCTCAGTGAACTAAGTTGTATGTACAATTGGGTGTAAATAAAAAAGCTTTTAAAAAATCCTAAAAATGGTAAAAATTATGGGATTCTTGTATAAATTTATCTATATAGTTTGGATGTCCTTGGTAAAGATTGGATGGGTATTTTTGTCGTAATCCTCATTCATATTTTTCTTTTCTTTTTTATTTTTTAAAATGGTCCAAACTAGTTTTTTTAAAATTCAATTTTTTTATATAATTTTTAGAATTTATTTGAAATTTTACTACATTTATTTTATTTTTTCATTTTTCTTATTTTTTAAAATTTTCTAGGGCTTTTACCCTGCACAATAGTACTCAGGCAAGGCCCCTAGGGTTTGATGTGGTTGACTCACCTCGAGTACAGGATTGAGTGCCTGGTTTGAGAGGAGTTCCTAAACACAGTTTAGGAACCTTCACATCTCCCTGCCATTAGAAGTTGGCAATGAATTGTTGGATTATGTCCAGGTCAAACTCCAACTATGCAGGGACTCGAGTTTGAGTAGTTAGCAGTTGACATAAGCAATTTTGGATATGAAATTCAATTTCTATTCCAAAACTGCATAGAAAAAGAATACGTCCATACGGGGTGAAGTGAATGTTTCTACATAAAACTTCACTACACAAATCTCTTTGAAATGAGGATGGAGATCATTATGTGCGGATAATGCTAGGTCGTTTAAAGGAATGTCTGACATTTATGTTGCTTTTATCGTATAGATTCATGTTACATTTATTGGCAGCTTCTAAAAGAGCTGGTTAATGTAGTTTCAAAGAAAATGCAACCTTTTTAACATAGTTTTTCTTCTAAAAGAAAATATTTGGTGTGATGGATATCTTAGTATCGTGCCATAAGGTTTGTTGCAAACAGTAACCCAATTGATTTTATTTGCTTTTCTTTTCCAAATTAGAAAGCATCCAATAGTGATTTACATACGGATCCTAAATTTTTTTCTAAAATACGAAATGCTTTGTTCATAGGCAAAAATTACAAAGAAGGTCCGAAAAATTTTAGAGTCGGTATGAAGGAGTGATTTCCTAGAAATTATTATGTGTTCATGGATTCTTCTCTCTTGCCTTGTAGCTGAGAACTTGGGATTGCCATACTTGACTGCATACTTAGACTCTTTGGGGGAGGGTTTTCGGCATGGTGCGAATTTCGCAACAGGTGGGTCCACAATTCGACCACAAAATGTCACTTTGTTTGAAGGTGGGGTGAGCCCCTTCTCCTTGGACATACAAATATTACAATTCGACCAGTTCAAATCTAGATCAAACGCCCTTTATGTCAAAGGTACTTCTATTCCTATCGTTATTTTTGTTCTTCAGTAAGAAAACAGCACAAGTAGTTGTTAGTGTGCTTTTGTTAAGAGCATTCATGATTTAAGTATCTGGATAAAGTTTTTATCTTTCGACCATATAATTCCTATTGCTTAGTAAAACACACTTGAGAACTTCGAAAACATTATGTTGAAAAAAAAAAAAAGAAAAAAATTTACTTAGTACCACAATTTTTTGAAATTTGTAATATTGTTCTTCCTTTTATTTCAAAAATGTGCTTACAATTATTATGACTGAAAATTTTAACCCACAAATAATGTGGCTCACTAAAATAACCTATTATCCGAACATTCAAAACCTATAGACATAGTAGTAAGAGTATAAAATCTTTTACTAAAAGATTTCCTCCTCTCTATTGAGTATTACTATCTATTTTATCCCTCGGGCAAAATAGGAATACTTTTTAGATCTCAAGTTTTTGGGACGTAATTTCTACATTCCATAGAATAATCTCAGCAAAAAAAAAAATCAGAAATAAACTCTGTATAATAAAAAACACTAATACCTAAAGATTGATAGAGACCGTCCATTTTGATGGGTTAGATCTGTCTCAAAAAACTCAAAATTCAAATATTTTTATTTTAAAAAGAAACGGTTAGTAATTTTTATATAAAGTTTGGACTAAAAAATCAACCTAGCAAGGTATTTCCAAGAAAGGTTGCTCCCAAGTCTCAACACTTCTGTCTTCTCTTCATTGGAAGCAATGGGCAAGCCCCCTTTTCCATTTTTATTACTATTATTATTATTATCATTTGTTTTTTTTGACAAGAATTCATATTTCCTTCAAATATGTAGCTCATATTTAAGTTGTACTGTTCTTCTATTAGAGAATGCACTAAAGGCTAACGTCCCAAAGCCTGAGGACTTCTGCAAGGCATTGTATACTTTTGACATAGGCCAAAATGACCTTGTTGCCGGATTCCGAACTATGTCAGACGATGGGGTCCGAGCTTCAATCCCCAAAATCCTTGTCGGCCTGTCACAAGTCATCCAAGTAAACTCTCAGAAACCATAGTCTCTGATTTCTTTTTTTTTTTTTTTTTTTGAGGGCATAACTGTGTTATGTGATCCTTGTCCCAAACTCGTTTATGGAGGCCATTGAGCTTATACCAAACCAAATCTACTTAGAAAACAGGTAAGGGCCTGTCTTGTCCCTCTGAATTACTCAAAAATAAAAACCAAAGTAAAAGCAATATTTTAGGTAACAACCCATCTAATAACGTAAAATAATTTTGACGAGGTTATCCACAATTTAGAATTTACTTATTCACGATTTGAAGAGTTTACTTGTAATAACTCAAGTTACGGCTCAGCCCCACCAGTAAAATGATTTGTATTTTATGCTCTCTTAGATTTACATCTCTTTCTAATCCTGGGAAGGGTGTTGATTACCGTATGTTGTTGTAGTGGTGATCTCGTTTCTAAAAGTAAGGTTTTTTTTAGGTATGAACTTTGATAAAATTACCAGAATTATCGTTTAGTAAGTAACTTCACATACTTTATTATGAGGTCCTACTCTCTCAAATTTTTTGATTTCCTTTCTCATTTTGACCTAGTTTGATGTTTCTAATATCAAACTATATGTTTTAAATTTATTTATTTATTTTTAAAATTTATGTAGTCGGACATTTAAAATATCAAACTACACCATTTGTTGGCCGGTTCAAGAATGGGAACATCAGATTGCCCTATATCGTTTTGCCCACCATTGCCTATGGGGAGGTATGTGGTTATATATATATATATATATAACTTGTAAAAATGCCTATAGGCGAAATTGAACCGCCACGGATCTATGGGAGCTATAGTAGTTGCTCATATTTTTATGCATGAAAAAATTATGTCATGAACATGCTATGTCCGTGACAGCATCACTAGCAGACTTTTAATCCATGTTGTCCAAAAAAATCTGATTACACAAGCCTATGGGCGAAAATACAATATCTTTGCCCATAAGAAATCCGTATTCTAAATATGCCGATGAAAAGTAATTCCTAAGAAAGATGATTTAAGAAATTAGATTTTTTTTAAAAAAAGAAAAAATGAATTAAGAATACATTCTATGTAATAATAACGAATTAAAGCCATACATATTTTCCTTTAGGACAATCCCTCATAAGTCAAGAATTAAGATTACTCATGCTCTCAAACAAAAACCTTACTAAAATACTGGCTACTTGAAGTTGAAACTACTGTGAACCATTTCACCTATATGTAGAGAAACTATATGTAGTGAAAGACGGATTCCACAACACCGTAACAATCCGCTTCTCGCCCAAGACTCACAAGGAAATAGAAAGAAGAAGAAGAACCCATATAAAGTGGAAGAAAAACTAATCTTTCATTAAAAAACGAAAAATATTGTACGAAAAGACACTACAATCTTGACACCCAAGATTAACTTTAACGCATGTGACTTAATTTTCTCACTACACACCTCTCTTTAAGTAAAGACACTAACAATCGTATTTACTACAATAACTCCCCACTCACAATAATAACTAATAACTTACAACAATAATTACTAACTGCCTAGTAGTTCCATAACTTCATGTTACACAAAACTACGGATTAAAACCTCACTACATCACTCATAATAAAATAAAATAAAGACAAATATAATATCTAGAAAATATACTTTAAGAATTTTAACCGAGTGATTATCAAATCATGTGCTTGAACTTGGAAACCCTCATCCTTTTGTATGGTGCAGCTTCTCTATGGACAAGGGGCACGAAGTTTTTGGATTCATAACACTGGTCCAATTGGGTGCCTACCACTTTCAGTTATATATTATCCTTTGAAGCCCCGGAATATTGATAAATATGGTTGTGTATACACACAAAACGATGTGGCTCAAGAGTTCAACAGGCAACTCAAAGTAATGGTTTCTCAACTTAGGAAACAACTCCCTCTTGCTGCGCTCACATATGTGGATGTCTACTCTGCCAAATTTAACCTCATCACTCATGCCAAGGAGCAAGGTACAAAATTAATTTCTATATATACACACACAGTTTGGAAATCAATCTATAGAAAATTGTTCATATTGTTAGTTCACTACACACATTTTGGAAATCAATCAATAGAAAGTTATTGGTATAGGTAGTTCATCATGTGTGAGTTTGATGTGCCTACTGGTGGTGTCTAATTTTTTCACAATTCCCAAAAGAAGGCAAAACAACTTCTGTTCCTTAAGGGTGGGTTTGAGTCGATCCAGACCTGGTGGAGTTACTCAGACCTATCCAATGGGTCGGTTTGGTTAAGCAAAAACTGATCAAGCTCAGGATCTTAAAAAAATTAACAAAAAAAAAAAAGGCATAGGATTGCAAAATCGATCAAGGTTTCCTCTCTTTGTATAATAAAACCCTCAGGTTGTGTCCCAAAATCTTTTTCTTGGAAGTTTGCTTGTAAGGAAGCATTTTTCACCTCGTATTGGTTCGTACTTAAGATAAAAGCAAGTGAATGAATGTCCATAACAATTTAATTCGTATGACTAGCCCTGTAGGCCCAAATGTTGTCCAAGTCTAGATTTTCCAGGGTATTAGGGGTGGTAATAGACTGGGCCTGAGCCAGGGCCTGCCCTACCCCTTATCCCTATAGGGCTCGCCTGAGGCAAGCCCTGTCGTCAAGCTAGCACAACCCTCCGAACGCACTGTCCCTGAGCCCGACCTTTTTAAAGCCGAGCCAGGCCACTAGGCCCATTGCCAGCCCCACAAAGCATCTCCAATGATGAATCAATACCATTGCACTGCTTATGTCCACTATCATATATAAGAGTCACCTCTGCTACAGAGAGAAATTAGAAGAACACTAAAAAAAAAAAGAAAAGAAAAGAAAAAAAAAATGACATTTCAAACAATAATGTCTCAATCTACCCTAAAATTCCAAGACCATAAACTCATAAATCATCTACTGAAACTTCACCAGCTCAAGACTAATTGGATGAAAATGATAGCACATGCGGACTTTAACTATTTGGGTCTTAGAGCCATGGATTTAATGTATGCTCAGTAATCTTCTTGCAAGTAGCCCAGGGTCCAAAGTGCTCTCTCTCTCTCAAATCCTTTTCTGTATTTTATTTATTTATTTTTATTTATGTGGTAGGTTTTGGTGATCCCATGAAGTTTTGTTGTGGTCATGCTGGGGACTACACTGTTGGATGTGGAAGGAAGGCAGTTGTGAATGGGACTGAGATCTATGGCAGCTCATGTGGTAACCCATCTATGTATGTGAGTTGGGATGGGGTCCATTATTCTCATGCTGCCAACCAATGGATAGCAAATCATATACTCAATGGCCAGCTATCTGAACCCCCTCTTCCCCTTCCTCAAGCTTGTAAAAGGGTTGATCCTTGACACCAAACTGAACTTTCTCATGCGGTTTTAATGTTTTGGTAATTTGCTTCTTCCACAACTCTGATTCGGACTGGGACTAGGACTTATCAAAAAATAAAAATATCCTAATTTTGGTATTTGCCAATTTTTAATGATTTTTTTTTTTTTTGTTGTTGCTTTTCTTACTCTTGGTTTCTTTAGTAATCATGGATTGCTGGTGAGCACGTAAAGCATATATTGCAAATGAGCTTCCTGCTGGATACAAATGAGTTTAGTTTTGCGATGCTAGTTTGCATGAAACTAACATTGTTGTGAGAGAGAGAGAGAGAGAAAGAGAGAGGAAAATAGGTGGCTAGATGATTTAGATGGTTTCATTCCGGCTTCTAAAATGGTTTTAGCCCCTTGCCATAGGCAAATGTCAATCGGCCAAACTTGGAAAAACTGAAAATTATTCGATGAAATGGATTATACGAATACCCCTAGTCCAAAATTATTCGAGGAATTTTTTTTTTTTTTTGACAAGAGCATTGATATTGATTATCAGTAACTACAAAATAATTACAAAATTATTCGTGGAAATTGATAACAAAAAGTGGAAATTGGGATTGTATGTTTCAAGACTATTTATTTTTCTCATGGGTGATCACAATTACGGCTAGCTATTAAATGTCAAACTAGATGTCTCGGGGTGAATCATCAAGTTCGGAAAAATTTCTTTTGAACTGAATTTAGTCAATGACACTCTTACAACCACCTGATTTAAAATCTAATAGACAAGAGTGCGTGCGACCTCCTTTTACTAAATATAAGTGGCTTCTTTATATAATCCTCCATATTATAAGGGAAAATATTCACTATCAATATAAGAAGGTTATAATCACTACAAGCTCTTGTAGATGAGATGAGCGGCTGGAGTTGTGCCATTGGAAATATATGCCGCCGGTGATGGATCCAAACAAGTTCAACCTACCCAACCATTTGACTAAGCACCTAAACGTAATATCCATTGTAAATGAAGTCGATGGGATTATGAAAAAATAAAGCCATTGTGAGATCGTGATCATCATCCTTTTAAGTATTTTTCCGACTATTTGAAGTCTGTTATGAATTTTAATCAGTTATTTTACTCTATTAAGGTACATACACTCAGTGAGGTCAAAAATCGTCATATCTTTTCTCACTAGTTCCAACCATGTCTTATTAAACCTATTTTTTACCTTTTTATAACCTTCCACTTAAATCAACTCGTACCTCCTAACAAGTATTGTACTAAGACTGTACTATACATAACCAATCCACCTAAATCTACTTTTTATCTTCTTATCATCTATCTACTTTTTATCTTCTTATCATCTGTTAGAGTCGCACCAATGTCCAATGAGATTGTCTGAGTGCTTGATTGTGGCATATATGATCAACTTCACAACCAAATGACTCCATATAATCAGGGGTGATAGAAATGATTGTATCAATTGACCAAGCACCTAAAAGGCTTAATAATGACTACTGAGGGTGCACTAAGCGAGCCATTTTTTTCTTGGAGCAAGGATCTCAAAGGCAAAACGCACACATGCTCTCCACAGCCTAGACACTAGAAAGCTCTACAGCCAGAAAAATGCAATGCAGAGGTGAGACGTTTGAGCATTCAACAAAGTAACAAGTGTACACATATTTTACTCCCATGGGAGTGTATTGCCTATTTACACCTGTGGGTAAAGTCCCTTCTAGGATTAACTTTAGGACCTCAAGTCTCCGGGATACAACCTCTTCACTCCACAAATTAATTGCAATAAAAAATTGGGGAATTATAGACTCCCCTGATTGGTATTTTTTATGCACGTCTCCTATAAAATAATTTTATACCATAATATTAACCTCGATATTATTTATGCTTGCATTTGTTCCTAGTAAAAAAAGTTGATTTTTTTTTTAAAGTACCTCCATTTTAACCCACGTTTGTCATTTTCTTATCATGCTCCTACTTTCTTTCTCTATAATTCTGCTCGAGTCATTTGCTGTTGGACCAGCACAGCTTGAATAAATAAGTCCGCCCTACACATTTTGTGTCGGACCGACACAATTTCAATCTAAGCTAGTCTGGCACATTATATACGCAAAATGTTATTAATAGAAATTGGTCTAGCAAATATTTGAAAGACGGAGGTCAAACAAATTTTTGTGCCTGACTGGCACACGTGGGCTGTTATATTTTGTGAGAAAATATAGGTTAAAGTGGGGTATTTTGGTCCAAAAAAAATAAATTTTTTTATGTGGGGGTCAGATAACAAGAACCAATAATGTTGAGGTTAAGAGTGGAGTTTAAAAAATATTAGGTGGTGGGGGATTATGTCTAGAAAGTACAAATTGGGGGGATCTATAATTTTCCCCAAAAAAAAAAATCTTAGTTACACCTTCTAAGCACTTGAAAAAAAATAATTTCTCAAGATTGGATAGATACCCGCCAATTACTAAAGGGTGAGATCCAAGTGTTAGAAAATCAAAACTCAATTTCTTTTATTGAGAATTACCGTCTAATGAATCTTAGGTAGTTCCCAAAATATAAGATTAAAAATAAAATCTTAGGAGGTCTAGTGCTTGAGGGAGTAAATGTGCACTATGCTAATGTGGGAGCATTAGAGTGCACACGCACAAATCCTTAACAATCAAGCCCTTCTAACAGGCTAAAACTGAAGACTTTGTTATAGAATGTTTTTGTGGCCATAAATGTAGACCTATGTGTAAACAACATCATATTTCATTCCTTTGCCATACCACTTAAGAAGGCTCTCAAAGATATGTAGCAATGTGTGGCAGTCAATTAAGGCTCACCACAGTAGATTCAGGGATTTTGACGCTCGAAACTTTTTGGGAAGATTGACTCATAAATGCACGTGAAGAGCTCTTCAAATGCGGTTAAGCCTTTGAAAGCCTAACTTGCGGGGTCATTGACTCATAATCGTAAGTTCGACGTCGTTGTGAGTCTAACTTGTCTGGATCCTTACATCATGATCATAAGCCGGCGGTTAAGCCTCACTACAAGCCTAACCTGCCTGTGTCTAGGTCGTTGACCCATTGACAGTTAGATCTCATTGTGAGTGTAACTTATTTGGACTTCTACGACATGACCATTAGCAGGCAATTAAGCCTCATTGCGAGCCTAACCTACCCGTGTCTTGGTAGTTTGCTCATAAATCGACAGTTATACCTTATTGTGTTAACTTGTCTGGATATCTTCGTCATGACCATAGGCCGGTAGGTAAGACTTATTGCGAGCCTAACCTGCCTCGTGTCTAGGTCGTTGACTCATTAATCGACAGTTAGACCTCATTTTGAGACTAACTTGTCTGGATCTCTTTGTCATAAACATAGGCTAGCAATTACATTACAAGCCTAACTTGCCCGTGTCTGGGTCGTTGACTCATAAATCAACAGTTAGACCTCATTATGAGTCCAACTTGTAAGGATCTCTTTGTCATGCCCACAAACCTAACCTGCCCGTGTTTGCGTCGTTGAGTCATAAATCGCCAGTTAGACCTCATTGTGAGTCTAACTTTTCTGGACCTCTAAGTTATGACCATAGGTCGGTAGTTAAGCCTCATTGCAAGCCTACCAGGCCCGAGTCTGGGTCGTTGACTCATAAGCCAATGGTTAGGCCTCATTACAACCCTAACTCCTTCAGTTTAACTCTAAACACGAGGGTGACTAGTTCGAGACATTGGCCAATTTTTAAAACATTGGTATGAATAAATTATTAAACTTAGTCTTAATCATAAGTATGTTTGATGTAATCGATACTAATATAATTTTTATTTATTATCATTTTTGTTAGTTTATTCTTTAGTAAAGACTTCACTATGAATAAATATTTTTTTCATATTATGAAATAAGGAATAATTTATTTATAAAAATGGATCACTCGATAGCATCCCACTAATGCAAATTCCCACCAAGTGAATAGCTTACATAAAATATCTGGTTATCAAAATATTCTGAAGAGATCAACAATTTAATATTTTTCCTCTAATTTTGAATTAATTTCAAAATACCCATCAAATACACATGAATGTGAATTGTTGAAAAAGTGTAAATTGTTAAACTGATGAAAAGTTAGATGCATTTTAATAAATTTCTCAAATATTTATTTCATTTCTTTTGTGGATGAATGTATATACTATTTCTTAGGGATAATTAATTTGTAAGTGAAATTCACAACTAATTACTCATAAATTTATGGCAAAAAAAAGGAAAAAGTTTATATAAGGATGCTACCATATAATGTAGAACTACAGATGCCCCTAAAAAATCCATCGGAAAAGGTAGTTTTAATATTGAAAAACCTTTTGATTGATCATCTCGACGTCGAGATGTATGACTATGAAAAATAAAAATATTTAAAGTCTCATACATTTTACAACATATTATATGCACCGTCCATTTTCAAGATTTTCGTATGTTTATAAATCTACTTGATTTTAATGATTTTTTAAATTCAAAATTTTATAATTAGATATAAAAATAGATTTTTAGATAATCTTAAGAACATTTTACATCAAAATCATATACCATGATAAAATTTGAAAGTGCTCCTTACTTCTACACCTATATGAATGCATCTGTATGCAAACTGCACCCAAAAAAAAAAAAGTACATAAAAAAATATATTGAGAAAATACCTCACTAAGGATCTAGTTGATAAAATAGAATGTTAATATTTAAATCTCTAAATAAATATATGAATAAAGCGATTGCCATATATGAATTATAAATTATCCTTATATGTGTTTTTTTTTACATGTTTGACGGTCTGCGACTGGTGATAATTTTGAGACTTCCTCTATAAGAAATCCCTCTTTTTGAGTGATAATTTTTAGAGTTCCTCTTTAAGAAAACCCTTTTTTGAGTCGTTTTGAAGTCCCCTTGAAGCTTCCGATTTCTTTTTCATTGCATTTATAACAAAGAATACAACCCTCCCTCAAGAAATTGGTGGGGTCACCCAAATTTCTCATCTCTCTCTACTATCTTGATCGCTTTTACAAGTAGCTCCATCCCTGGTTCCTCTGGCTCTATCGATGGTACTTGCATTGTGTAGCATCAATTTAAGAGGTCTGATGAGACAGCCAGAATTAATCAATCCTTGCAGCTCTCGCTATCTCTCTCTCTCTCTTGAAGTTTTATAAGTTTTGGATCTCATCCGACAGTACCCACTAATCCTGAAAAAATTGAAGGCCCCCAAAATAACTCGACTTATCAACCCTTCATCACCACACCCTGTATCATTCTGTATAAGCCGCCATCACCTCTTTCACTCCGCAACACAAAGACTACTCCCCTCTCTCTACAGTAAATCACAATATCAGTCTCTCCTCTCTCTCATCATGAATAAGCCTAAAACCCCCCATAGTCACACTTCTCATCCTCGGCTTCCTCCTTGACATTGGGGAATGTAGGAAGCTCGCTGATATGGTCCTCTTTCCTGAAACCAGTGGCGGTGGAGGTAGCGCCGTGCCGGTATCTTGCCTGAGAAGAAAGGGCGAGGTGAGAGAGAGACCATCAACTGTGTGGAATTCCGCCTCATGTAAAAATTTTAGTATCCCCGTAAATTCAAGTCAGACTATAATTTTTAGATATCGAATATGTGGGGTTTATTCGAATATATCTTAGTAGGATACGCGGTTCCTAAACATATTCACTAACTTCTATAATTAAAATCATATTAAATTCTATAACACCCTGGGATATCAGGAGGATATTTGATTGCTATTTTAACATACCCCTTAGCTTTTCTTCCAAATTTAGGGAAACGAAGAATACTAAGTTTGCATAAGGAAAGCCAACTTAAATTATTCAAATCTTATCTTATTTATCTTTAGGGGCCATTTGGATACTTGGAAATGTATTATCTGTCAAATATATTATTGGCGTAATACATTACTGCATAATACATAACCTGTAAATGGATTGTTACTGTTTGGGTAGTATTTAGATGCAATATGGGAAATACATTATTATTGTTTGGCTATATCTGAAAGAACTATAAGAAATACATTACTAACATTTTACCTGCACGTGCCTGTAAACTATCATTTCTTTCTTTTTTGTTACAAAATTTACTAAAATGTAGAATTATCATTTTTTTTTTTTTGTCACAAAATTCCACTAAAATACTGAATTAAAATCATCATCACACCATTCACAAAAGATTTCTAATAATAACATTATCACCATTCCAAAAAGATTTTCTAATAATAACTTCAACTATTTTACAATCATGACACTATTTCTTACTTATTGTAAGTTCCTTTGACACTTATATGAAATCACATGTTTTCTAACATGACATTGATTTCAACATGATAAGTAACATGATTTTATTATGATAAACATTATTTTTATTTATTTTTTATAGAAGTTTTTCAAATGTCTCTCTATATAATTTCAAATAAATAATAAATTTATGATACTAAATTCAAAATCTATGGGGTACGAGTTAAAAAATGGGAAAAAGTTTGATTAGTAAACTAAAATGTTTGGTAATTGCAATATAAAATTTTGAGGTATTGTAGGAGATTAAAAAGTATGTTATTTCAATTAAGATTTTAGTAATCTCTTATGAAGATTATGTTGTGTAAATTTTTTTATTATGATTGTGTTGTATAATTTATCATTATTATTAATTTTTATTTTTATTATTTTTGTTTTTACATGTTACTGATGCCTTCGGATGAAGAGACAACTTAAAAAGGGAGGGATTACATTATGTTGTGTGAAATTTTTTATTATAATTGTGTTGTATAATTTATCATTGATTACTGATTTTTGTTATTTTTGTTTTTATATGATAGTTGTTATTTTTATGATTTTTGTTTTTATATGACGACTGATGCCGTCAGATAAGAGGACGAGCTTAAAATAAGAGGGATCACCTAGTTATTATAAAGAAAGAGGGTTTAGAAGATTTTTTTAATCACGATAAAAAACTCACATAAAGTATTTTCCAAAATTATTTGTCCTTGTCGTAATAGATTTTTCACCTATCATTATGTGTAATGGATTTTTTTGGGGAAATCTCGCCTAATCTTTTTTCATTTTTTTACCATTACGTGTACTCAAGCGGTAAAAATATCCTATTTCCTTTTAATCTATTGTTACGTAATAGATTTTCAGGTATCTTAAATGTGAATCCTTACTCTTGCACTACAGTCATAAAGTAAATCCCTATTAGCCAGTTAAAAAATGGCAATTTGTCCCATTTCCTAGCTAAATAAAATAGGATGAGAGAGAGGTGAATGCTTTTTTCGTAGTTCATTGGATCACAGACATTAACTAAGACAGCCTTTTTCCAGCCAGCCAAATGGCCATTTTTGCAATTTCTGATCCACAAATATGAATTTGAGAGAGAGAGAGAGGTGAGTACTGTTTTCCAAATTCATTGGACCAGAGTCATTAACTAAGACAGCGTTTTTCAGCGAGCTCAATGGCTATTTCTGCCATTTCTCATCTACAAATATGAATTGAAATTAGGATAGAGGTGGAAAGAGAGATAGATGGTGAAATCTATTTACATATAATAGCAATATCTGTCATTCAACTCCCCGAGCCTCTCATTCCCAAAACAAAAATTTAATTTTTATCTACTCTATATTAATCAGTATCTCTCTCTATCTAACCAAACTCCTTTAAATATTCCCATTACACATTGTTGTAAACAGACAAATTACAGATAAGAGAGAGAGAGAGAGAGAGAGAGAAAATGGGTTTGTTATGGTGGGTTTTGCTTTTGGGTGTGGCTTGGAATGGAGAAGAGAGAATGGCGATTATGGGGGTTGCTGCAAAGTGTGAATTCCCTGCAATTTTCAACTTTGGAGATTCAAACTCTGATACAGGCGGCCTTTCTGCGTCTTTTAACGAGGTTTCCCCTCCTCACGGTGAGACCTTCTTCAGCAAGCCTATGGGGAGGATGTGCGACGGCCGTTTGTTGATAGATTTCATTGGTATGTAGGCTCCTGCTCGACATCTTTGGACGAGTTTTTTAGGCCGGAGTTATTTTGATTTTTACATACATTCATTCATTGTGATGGTAATGATAGATGATATTGGATTTCATTGACTAAGCTGATGCTTATTGCAGTAAATGTTTCCTCAAGATTTTGTAGGAAGTGTTCGGTAGGTTGTATGTATAACTCGGAGTATATATATAAAAAAAACTTATATACTTCCCCTTATCCAACCGTCCATCCTGATAGGAGGGCAAAGAGTTCTCCAATCACAATGTTACGTCTTTATATTATTTTATTTTTATTTTATTTTTTTTATAAACTATTTTGACACTAAATTTTGCATGTCCAATCCTCTAATAAATTTGCACTAGGAAAAATATAAAAACAATATTTTTAATAAAATAAAATGATAAAAATCCCCCTGAATGTTTCAAAAGATGTTTTGGTCCTATATTTTATTGAAAGTTTATTTTAAATATTTTTTATAGGTGCACCCCAATAAGAAGATGGCACGTACCAAATTTCATATTCATACCATTTGTATAAACAAGTAAAAATAAAATATGGGATCTAAGATCTAACAATGAGTGGCTCTCTTGATCAAAATTGGATGGCCAGATGGCAGGGGGAAGTATAGATCTTCTATGATATATGGGGAAGTATAAAAAACTATTTACTTACCTATATATATATATATATATATATATATAGAGGAAAAGATTCTGTAAGCCCACGAGCTGACAGCTATAGTGTTAGCCAACAGCTGAGATTGAATCTGAGTCCAATCCAATGGTCACAATCTCATTTCGTATTTTAATTTTAAATTTTTTTATACAAATCCAAATCACTTGAAGCATCTATTTTTAAAAGGTATAAGAATCTAATAAAAATATTTAAAAAATAATTTGAAAAATATAAATTGATCAAAATACCCTTGAAACTTTTTAAATGTGTTTTGGTCAATTTATATTTTGTGAATTATTACTTTTTATATTTTTAATAGATGCTCTTGAGGAGTAGAATTATGCCGAAATTTTGGATTTGTACAAAAAAATGAAATTCAAATACGAAATAAAGTCGTATCCGTCAGATCTGCCTATATTCAATCTGGGCCATTTATTCCAATTACCTATTCTCTATATTTCTTTGATTTTTTTTTTTATTACCTTCCTCGCGTATGTATAAGACCGAATCCATTCGAATTCTAAAAAGGATTACTATACTAATCCTTAAGTTTTCAAGGAATCCTTCATCAGTGGTTGTGAATGACTGATATTTGTTCATTCTTTTCGACCCGGGTTCCGTAGGAGCAAGTCAGAAAGATTGAGAAATAGAACCATCTGATT